ATATCTTGATGAAATAGAACCGATTCCTATATAGTTCGTATATTCTGCCATACAGCAAGCATAAAGTTAACTCGGCTCGTGGCTTTGACGGCATATGGATTAGCACGTTCGGCTGAGTTGACGCCCTAAACCTATCGAAATGGGTTCAATCATGGGAGTGGCAAGAGCCGGAAGCTAACGGAAGAAGTGCAAGTGTAAGAGGGCATATAATTCCCAGGCAGTCAAATATAAGCGGACATACGACTCCCAGGCGGGGTATAGGTGCCTGTACCAAAACCTCCGAGATTTTATTACCGGGAGCATCTCAGCCTAAAGCTACCAAAATTTGAATAATTTTAATACCGTGAGATTTCCGAAAGCTACCAAAAATCTCCGAGATTTTAGAGCCGGGAGAGAAGTACTCGTGGTACTAAACTTTCCAGGATTTTAGTAGCTCGAGACAGACATACAAGAGCTTTCACGAAGAGATGCCACAAACGACCGCATTCCAGGGGGGGACCAAGGTGCGCACAAAATCATACACGCAAGCGGCGCGACACCGTTTTATTAGAGAATATTGTCTAATCATCCCTGGCCCCGGAGAGAGATAGAGAAGAAAGCAGAGAAAAATATAAAAGAAAGAGAAAAATATAAAGAAAAATTCAAGAGAGAAAGAAAGAAATAGAGAGCTAGAGAGAGAACGAGAGAGGTAGAGAGCAAGAGAAAGATAGAAAGAGATATAAAAGATCCAGAAAAAAAGAAATAGAAATATAATACGGCACTAATTTTATATATAAATTGAAAAAAAAATATTTAGAATTCAATGAATATCTTCAATACTTCTTCAAATCAACCTATCACCTATGAATTCCCTGCTTTTTTCTATTGAAATATCAAATTAATAACCAAATTTTCAACCAATCAACCAGCTTGGAAATTACAACAATATACGAGGGGTTCAGGAGCTGAGGTATGGCTTTATATTGTTCCCACAGCTACACCTGCCCGCGATTCAAGATTCACAGATATTACATTTCCGGATATATCATCATGCCATTATTTTCCGGAGAGCAGTCCTTAGATCTTAATCACTATGCACGGGAAAAAATGGAAGATTCATAGTTCTTTCATAATATTGTCTATAGCTATGCTGAAATGGCTGGATTGAGGCCCATCAAAGTCGACGAAGAGAAATCGGCACCGTGGCCAGAGTCGCTGTGGTCTCTCCCTCCCTCCCTCCCTTCCGATCGTCCGTCCCCGTTGAATTTGAAGACTCGTTAAGTGGCACAAGCGGAGTTCGAAACTCAATCTCCGAAGATAACAAAGCTCGTCCTATCCTACGCCTGACAAGCCAAGTGCATGTTGAAATCATCGGTTATCGTAGCAAAGTCTGCTTTCAGGTCACTAGTCACAAGTCTCTGCACTGGCTGGCCCCGATTGCCAGTTCAGCCTGCACTTCTGACAGGGATGGGCCAATCTCAGCTGGGATTGTAGTCCTCATCAAAATGTCCCACGTACACCTGCACACCGCGGTCGCGAAAGAGCCACTATTGTCAGAGGACACGTGCTGTCAGGACTGTTCTCCATCGACATGCCTAAAGACCTGCGGCTGGCACAACTGAGCTGTCTGGGGTGCTCACCAAATTCAGCGTGTCCCTGATCTGTGCCTCCTCGATCGTCATCCTTAGCCATTTATCGTTGCACTCCCAAGGGCGCTGCATCCTGCAACGACCGTGAGCCAGTAGATCCAAAACCGGTCCAAGGGCAACAATATCAACGAGCTGCACCCGACTTCTTGGAGCGTGGCTCTCGGAAGAGGACATCCTAGCGACACAACAGACACGAGCCAGCGACATGCCAGCGAACTGGTGTGAACCAAGAAGGGCGACAGCAATCCCGACCCAAAGGCCCGTTTATGTATGTGTATATATATATATATACATACACACATACATACATACATACATACATACGTAATCATACATACATACATACATACATACACAAACACATAGATATATATATATATATATATAGATATACATACATATGCACATACATATGTTTGTGGGTGTATATCAATATATTCTATTCATATATACATATACGGATGTGTGAATGTGTTGTCCCACGCACGACCCCGACATCCGACAAGAAGCTCCCTGAGCCCCTACATAGCTGCTCAGTCCTTGGGGTCCGTGTAATCCACTGGGAGGAGGGCGCCAGTTCCGTTCGGCGCTTTTCGGGGGAGGCCCTTGGTGAGGATAGTCTCCTGCTCGGTTCAAGCTAGGTAGATTCAGGGTCATAAGGGACTCGAACACTGATGGCAAAGATACTAGTGAAAGTACCTACAAGTAGCGAAGCAACTGAAGATGTGGGGTTGTATAATAACCCCGTGTAAGAATCCTTATCCCTGAGTGTTGATGTCGTTTTATTTTCTTCTTATCGTTTTACCACGAAAATGCGTTACCATTTCGTTATGTTGTGTTATCGTTTTATTTTCTTCTTATCTTTTTTCCACGGAAAACCATCAAAACCTAACACGGACATGTCAAGACTAAACTTAACAGCACGGGCTTATTATACAGTCCCATGTGAGTTTAGGGTTGTGGTTCTTATGTAAGCTTTCAGGTGTTGGATGCTCTGACGGTTGCTTGAAATGGGTTCTGGTTCTCGTGTAAGGGTCGGGGCTCCGGGATCACTAGCATACTAGGGCGGGATGTGCTGGCTGTGCGAGACAGTATGGAGGTTTGAGGGTAAAGGTTTCTACTAAGGCTGTATAAGGCCGCAGGAAGCAAGCCTTTCGAGGGTTTAGGGCCACGCTTTGAGTTCGGGTGCCTTGGCATTTCAAGAATCTTTCCGTCTTGAGATTGATTCGGTAGTCTACAAAAAGCCACAAGTTGATTTCTGTGTGAAGCTCCGAAAGCCACCATTGCCAAACTGCCAACAGCAGCCAAAAACCAACTCCTGAAATTGCTCTGGCTTGAGGGGGACCTCGAGTTGGTATTGGATGTGTCGCTGTTGCCTGATGGAGCTACCAACTTCAGCTGGATCATATTGGGGCAGGATCTTTCCAACAGTGCGGAGAGTAGCTCCGGCAATCTCAGTTGAGCACTGCTCGCTTTCTTTCATGTCATCCCTGGACTACAGGACGGGGCTTCTGGCGCAAGGTCGAAATGAAAAACGGCACTGAAAGACAAAGCGTGTCGGTGCCAACAGGGCTGCATGTTTGAGTAGATGAGGATGGGGGACACCGACCTACTCAACAGGACCAGGTTGTAATGGTTCGGGCTTAAGACTGACCGCGTCAAGCCAAGTTCGCAGGCTGTCCTTGCGATTCAAGCCAGTTCTTGAGCAGAATGTGTCCACAAGGTCACCAACAGTCCTGGCATGCAGCCATAAGGTGGCCGAAGCCCCCTGCAACTACTTGGAGGACAGTCGCATGAAAGTAGCGAGAGGGTCGACGACAACACAGGACGGCAAGTGCAAAAGGGAGAGTAAACATAGCAAGGAAGGCTATCTAACTTGACGTCTTGGACTTGACCTCGATGGATTTCTAATGAATCCAGGAAGGGATGGCTTCTTGGAGATTTAACTGATCTAGCCCAGGGCTTTGGGCTCAAGGCGTCGGGCTTTGGGGCTTAGCATCTCAGACCCCACGAAGGCATCCCTGCACCCGAAACCAGCTTACTCCAATGGCTAGGGAGGGCCAAACCCTCTGTCTCCTGGCAAACTGTCAGAGTTTGAAGCTGCTTCACCGAAACAGGGGCAGGCCGACGCGGCTTTCGGCATCATGCAGTTGAAGATCGGGGGGTCCTTGAGCCACCTGTGCGGGCTGCGGCGGTTCGCCTGTTGGGCCTTTTGGCCTTATGTCACCCTCCCGCAATTCCAAATGGGGCAAAACGCTCACTACTATGTGGCTGTGTTGCTTTCGGCTCACAGAACAGATTATGAGAAAATCAGTGCCTCAACCCCGAAGTCGTGCTTCAACCGTCATATATTGGCTTCGGTAGATCGTAAACTTTGAACTGGAACCATCCTCACGTAAAGGATGATTTCAGTTTATGGAGGCTAGGGTTGGGGAAGGCTGGCGTTGTCAAAGCCAGCTCTACACGATATCACAGAGCACGAGACCCGAAAACATCTATGTTGAGGGAGTTTGGGCCCAAACTGCCATGCCTGATGTGAATCATCTGGGAAGCACCGTCGTTGGCCTCCGGGTCGATCCTCGCAAGGCAGCTTGGAAAGACGGGCAGCTGGCACCCAGATGTCTGGCCCTCTGGGTGCAGCTCTGCTTGGGCTCAGGCTCGGGAAACAGACAGACATCCATCCATCTCTGGTGTGCATTGGTGTACGCAAGTTTGTGCAGATGCGCAGATGGGTCAAGGGACAGACCGGCGAGCAGCAAGGCATCTCCATCTGCAAGTGGTGTGCATGCTACGCATGCGCAACGGGGTGAAAGAATGACGAATGATAGTGAATGCATGAACATGCATGTCATTTGCCATGAGTCTCCGCCCCTGGACCCGTCGAAACTTTGAACCGCAAACCCTTCCCACGAAGCCGCTGAAACCAGACCCGGTCGACCAAAACGTCCCGAAACCGTAAGAACCTTACACACATAAAGACCAGAAGCCTCAAGCCCAAGCCTACAAAACCCCAACGACACACCTCAAACAGAAAACATTTTCAAATTCCCAAGTCCACGAAGACTCTAAGACCAAACTACAGCAGACCTGCAGCCCACCAGGGCTCCCGCAGACAAGGGCCCCTGAGCCCGAACCCGGGTCCCGAGACCAGCACCCAACCTGGAGATCCGGAAGCTACGGGGAAAGACTGGGAGGGTGTATATCTGTTGGTGCTGCTTGTAAGCACATACATTCACAGTAGGTACACACAGATGTGTGTGTGTGTGTAGACATATATGTATCGACATAAATATGCATTGCGTATGGATATCATATCGTCGATGCTGCACTACATAATGGGGTTATGATGCTGGTATGGGCTGGGATTTTGTTTTGTTTAGTCTTAAGGGCTTAAAGGGACTCTGTTAGGCTCTTGAGGATAGGGTTTTGGGGCGGTCCCGTTTTGCCCATCCACCCTGATCCTAAAGGTCAGGTTAGATGCCCAAAGAGACATGAGGAGGCTCTGTCTACTGAGTGGCAGTAAGTGGACTTTGCGTACAGATCGCGGCATAGAGCATGTGCGATTTTGGGTTCAATTCTGTTCCGTAAGGTAGATTCAGGCAGATGCATGCTGAGACAGGCTGAGGGGTGTTTCTTGCTTGTATCTGAAACCCTACAGAGGCAGACTCTCAGCGCTAGAGGGCACTTCAACTCAAGCAGCCAGCCTTCTCCGTCGGCTCCGCCTGAAACCTGAACCTGCAAATGTCCCAAGCCCTGAACTTCCCTGTACCCACACCCGAGCGCAGTATACATGCTGCCGTGTCGCCCATCTCCCCTGGAGATCTCGCCACATCCACCTGAAACGACTCGCGCACAGAACGTCATGCTTCAGTCTAGTCTGGCTTCTTCGGTTTAGCGACATACATACCTACTTGCCTACCTTCCCACCCACCCTGCAGGGACCCACCCACCTCCCTGGCAACTGGCATGATACTTAAATGACTTAAAGCAATGACAAGAAGCAAACGCACGAATGGTGTAGTGAAACGGAGGTACGGTGCCTCATCAAAAGGAGCCGAACTCACAAAAGGAACCCTACGGACTGCCTCGGCCCAGAGGCCGCCCTGGGGCCCCTTCCATGTGGTGCCTTGGTGGCCAAGACTTCAACACGCTTTCACAGGGGCCAAAAAAATTAAAAGCAGGACAGTAAACATCTTTGGGATAAAGGTTTGGGGTGTTGCAGGGTGGGGCATCTCGGGCTTAGGCTTCGGGCGGATTTGCATCGAAGGTCTCGGATTTACGGGCATGGATGATTTCGGTCTTTGAGTTCTCCGGCAGTTTGGTGCTGAGGGCTGGGAGCCTTCAACATGGCTGGCAGAGCAGGGACGCAAGGTTCTGGCAGTTTAGGACATAGCGCCGAAGGTTTGCCCTTTGAGCTCTTCAACGTCGTGCAGGTTTTGGGGATTCTTGAGAATGCCATGTTCCGAACGTGCTTTCTCGACCTAGCTTGGCCCCATCCGGAAAATCGTTCCAGAGTCTCATAAAAAGACCACCAGCTGGGATGCTTGAATCCCTGCACCTTCAGCCACCAGTTATAGACCCCCGGAAGTCCCAATCCGCTCGGATCCGAAACTACCCCCATCTCCAGTTGACGGAGGCTGCAAGTCCGAGTCCGCGGCCTGTTGTGTAGATCTTGGACCTCAGCCGACTCAAGTTCCCTCGAAGAGCTCAGGGCTCAGGGGGTCTTCCATGCCGGAGGCCCTTCTGCTGCGGCCCAGTGACCCCACAGGCCTCTTGGCCTTCAGGATCTTGCCGGACTGGGGGTCCTCAAAACCGGCCAGGCGTCTCCGTAGATGCTAACATGCAGATCTCTACATTCCACAGATCCCTCAACTGCAACCCCAACCTTCCCGCCCTCCCTCGTATCTCCGACCTCCGAGGGCTTGATGAAGCAGACACCTTGTGCCACGGTGTACTCCGCAGGACCATCCTGGGACAGGTTCGCCAGTTCCTGCGGAATCCAAACTGGAGAGAAGTCTGAGCGCTTGGGCCATCGGGACAGTTCTGCATAGTGATTGTGGCGACCCCGTTGTTCATGGGGCACTCAAGGATCCCACTTCTTTTCTGCGAGTCTGCGGCTCCATCGTCTTGCCTGTGCTTGGCACTCTCAGCCCGTATACGGGATACCATCGGCTGGGGACTCGTGACGACTGTTCTGCTGCGAAAGCCAACACCAAATTCACCACGGCTGTCAGCGATTGTCCCTCGGCCCAGGCAGACTCTGAGCGCGACGCCTGCACGACCTGCCTTCGAACTCCCGATGGACCCGACGGCCTCGGCTGCCCGGCCTTGCGGAAATCCTCGAGGTCGAGCAGCGGCTCACGGTGACCATGGCATCGCTTCCAAGCGGTGTGCATCCTGTTTCGTCGATGTCCACTGCCACAGCCAACCCAGACAGAACAGCGTGAAAGCACTTGAGACCTGGGTTTAATCATCCCAACATGCAGAACACACACTTATTCCATCCCATCACGTGCCAGGGAAAGCTTGCCCCTGCTTAAACCTCAAGGTGGTCGCGAGTTCATTCAGAAAGACCCAAGTCCTTTGATGCGGCCTCAGACTCTGAATACCATCCAGGCCCTACCCGACCTTTCCCTCCCCGGAGCGCTGGAGGAGAAACTTGGCCGCCACGTTTCTTACGGCTTGGCCAAGGCCCGAGCTGCAGCTGAAGGCCTTCAACTCGCGCTTGCTGCCACAGCTCCTCTCCGAAGAGACGGCTTCCACAAGCCAAAGGCCGTCGGACTGCAGTGTCTCAAGTGCGACGCCCGCAGTCAAGGCGGCAATCAGGATGTCAACAGGTGCAGTGCTGCGCAAGACGCTTGGCCAGCTCGGCATCCCCAAAAAAGGATGGCAACGTTGAGAAGGTGGGCCATGGCTTCCTGCGTGACGTTTTTGGGAGAGACCGACTTGGAGCGGAAAGCCTCAAGCTCTGCAAAAATCACGGGCGTTGTGGAGGCGCTTGCTGCAATCTCTTGGCATCCCCTGGAGGGATTGGCTCCAATCGTCCATCCAGACACCTTTATTCTCTGGAAGATGCCTGGACCAGCTTTCATCCCACTCTATGCCTTCGAAATCGCTGCAGTTGTCATCTTCGTCACCCTTCTCAGTCGAAAAGCCCCAGCTGCGTTGCAGGGAGGGCAACCACCCACATCTCGGAAGCTTGGTTCCGCGGGGAGGTGGCAAGGCTGCGAGGGCCCTTGAACAGGCACCCCAGCAGCAGCCGTGCTCTGGTGGCCGAAATGAAGGCAGAAGTCGAAGCGGTGTTTGGAATCCACTTCCAGGCTCAGGAGCTCCGGTTCTGATTCCAACAGGGCTTTGGCCACCTGAAAGTCGACATCGACGATCTGCCCATCCCCGTGACAAACGAATTTCTCCATGGACATCGGCTGCACAAGGAGGGCTGCCAGATGCTGCTGTGCACTGCGGTTCGAACAACATGCCGACGCAAGCATAAACATGTGCATCGCAAGCGATTCTTTGCCCTGCTACACTCCCCACCTGCAGTGCTCACATTCAAATTATGCGAAGCCGCGCTCTGCAGAACTGGACTTTGAAGGACATGATAGGGTTGAGGGCCAGCCCCCCCAGGCTGTCCTCGATCGCCATAGTCAAAGGGACCTCTCGAGAACTGCAGGTGGTGAATTTCACGGTGGGCATGGACACGGCATGTCTACAGATGAACCGGCCTTGGCTTCCCAACCACGCTGCAAAGCGGGAACAGCAGCTGGAGCCCAAAACGGCAACCAGGTGAGCAGTGAGATTGGAAGTTCAGGCAGCCTTTGCTGTCTCCAACCTCCTGGCATCGAAGGGCCAAGGAATCTAAGGAAACCCGTGCAGTGCGCTCCCATGAACGAAGACTTTTCGGCCAAGGCAAGACCATCTGCAGGATGCTCAGTCGAATTCGTTGCGCATCTGCATCCAAATCTCGGCAGCATGACAGGGAGAACTTCCGGCGCTTTATCTGGGTGGTCCATTGAGCCTCAACATCTTCATCGTCGCCACCATCACAACAACCGTCATCATCACCTTGGTCATCACGTTCATGCCATATTGTTTCGTGTGAAATAGCAGCAACAACGACAGAAACAGTGGCGGAATCGCAACGCCACACAGCACGTGTTCCGTCTTGCGGCCACCGCCGCTCGCCGCGCTAGCTGAGACGATAGGTTCACACATACATCCCGAAATACAGGCCGCGATGCGCACGCACACGCGTGGACCCGAAAACCCTACTCCAAAATCTGCATCCTAAACCCCAATTATCCTCATTATATCCGAAACCCCAAAGACCTTAACTACCTCAGAGATGCCTAAGCCGTTGGGAGGTTTGTGGCTGGGGTGCAGACCTCTGGCTTCCAGACCTTTCCGTTGTGGTCGAGACCAGACTGCCCCTTGAAACCTGGCGAAACAGAAATCCAAAGCTCGAAGGGGTTAGGAGTGTAGGGGGCACCTGGGACCTTGAAGTGCCGGGTTGGCTGTTAACGGCCTTTTCGGGATTTAGAGTGTAGGGTTTCGGAAGGTGTTTTTTTGGTGTTTGATTTGGTTTCGTTGTGGACTCATGGCTTTGCGGAAGTCACACGAGATGGGCTCGGCCCTCCCTGAAGCCGAATTCCCAAAACCCTGGTCCCCAGTTTGTCAAAGACTCGGATAGTCTTGGTGCGATCCCATCGGGCTGAGGCACTGGCGCTTCAACTTTGTCAGCTCCTGAAAGAAGGTCGGTGTCGGAAGGAAGGGTTCACGTGAAATCTGGGACTACCGGACGTGAGAAGCTGCAGTAAGTAGAGGCTTTCCAAAGGCTACCTGGAAGAAACTCCCAGAAACTCCCGACTCGACTCCCGATCCCGTCCTTGACGCTCATCTTGCCCTTGCCCTTTCCCTTGTCGCCACCCTTCTCCTGGCCCTTGCCTGGGCGGAAGCTCAAACTGTCAGGCCCTGCTTTTGGGTCCTTTTCTGAGGGCTGGATGGCACCGAGCTTCCGGCCCTTGCCTTTCAGCTCCACCTCCCCCTCCTGCTCGTCCGCTCTCCTGCTTGCAGCCCTGCCCTGCCCCAAGCTTAAAGTTTGAGAGCACTGCAGGACGGTCTTGGCTGCGAGGTGTAGAATGCAGGGTTTCTTTCCGGCAAGGCCCGTCCTCTTCACGCCGATCTCTGAGGGCAACCTGTGCAGAGCACAGGGCACCGGCAAAGTCGTGGTCTCAAGTCTTGAAGTCTGAAGGCTTGACTAATGCTTGAAAGACCAAATGTCTAGGAGCCCTAGGATCTTCTTCGACCATGTGTATCGAAGCCCTCGATTCCTTGAACCCCAAAACCCAGAGCTTGTGACTCGACCCTGCTTCGACAATTAACGATCTACGAATCTACGACTGCGGGGCTTGACAGCGGCCATTTCAACACAAACCGCCCACTGCCGAGGTCCGAGCACTGCTTCTTTGGCATCAGCACCGGGTAGCCATCCCTGGACAGGTGAGAGTTTGGTTCGCTCCAGGAAGCTTGTGAATTTGAAACCAACCCTCGGGTGCTCGGGTGTGTTGCTTTCACGTGATGCCCCGAGCTTTTTGCCAAGATGGAAAATCTCGCACAAAGCCCCGACACTGTAGGAGTATCACACGGCAAAGAGCAATCACACAGCACCCACACCTGCCCCCGCAGAGTTGCTGCGGACGCAGACGTGACCCGGTCCTCAGCTGTCCGAAGCAGGAACACTCTTGCTAGCGAGCTGGCATTACCCCTTAGATCACATGTTGGAACGTCTCCGGGAGAAATGAATGCCAAACACACATGGTCACCCCATATCGCAGACTGTCATGAGGTAAGCGATCTTAGCGAGCTTGGCATTCTGAGCTCGGTGCAAGGCTCATCTGATGACTTCGGACCTCATCGAGCTTAGGGAGGATTTGTGTTGAGGTTCCCGAATTCCTTGGGAGGGTAGAACTAGGAAGGAGCTCAGGCACCCGCCCGATCCGTCTTTGCGTGGTCCTTCTCATACTTCTTGAAGGACAGGGCCTCCTTTTCTCACGGGGGATCAGATGAAAATGGACCATGAAAGTCCCGAGGTCTAAAGGGCTACGAGCCGAGCCCGCCTCCCCCATCTTTTTCAGGGATTTGAAGGCCTTGGCTGCCGAGGTCCTCGGTCCAAAGAAGCGAAGCTTCGAGTCATCGACCCCTCCGATGCCAGGGCTTCGGGCAGTTTGTCTGACTCCTCGTCGTCCTCCTCGTCCTCCTCCTCCCCGTCCTCCTGACAGAGAAAAGCCCCGACCTTCACAAGACCCGAGAGGCCCCTGGGCACGAGGTCTCCTGGTTGACGGCTAAGTCAGGTGCGGCACCTCAGCTATCAGCAGCCTCTAGGCTTCCAGTCCGGGGCCGTCCACTGTTTCTGAGAGCTCTGCAGTAACTTCCGCGCAGTGGGACGACGATAACGAGCGACAGCAAAACAGGCGACCACAGGCGAACATGTCGATGGATGATGGCGATGACGGTGATGTTGCTCACGAAGGTGGAGAAGACAGGTGCGAACAAAATTAGGATGAGACCGACAGCGTAATAAAGTTATCACATACACAAGTCCAGCTGCCAGGTTCGGGACCTCCCTTCTCCTCGTCCTCTTCGTCAGAGTTGATGATCTTGCCCCCATGATCCTACGCGGAAGCTTCAAGCAACCTCTGCTATGAGTTCGATAAACGGCAACATAGCCTAACATAGCCTGTTAGGACCCCCTTAAGAGTCATGCCCTTGTTACCCCAAATCTTGGGCCGCTCGGGACGTCAAGCCCAAGGCTCCTCGGAGTCCGAGTCATCATAGTTGCCTCCAGCCACTCAACTCTCAGAGAGTTGCTTTTCAGTTCGAGTGCAGGCTTGCTGCTGCTAGTCCCCGTACTTGCCTTGCTGGTTTCATGATTTCATGACTGCAGACACGGCCAAGGATCTGCGGCCAAAGCCCAACAGCAGGGCTTTGAGTCTTTGGCTTTTGCTGGAGATTCAAAGACTATCGAAGCCGGAGGTAGAGGGCGTGGGGCACGGCCACGAGTCAGTAATAAGATCCCACAGTTGCTGGCAATATTCTAAGTACTCGTGCAATGTGCATAACCCAGTAGCTTGGGGTTGTTGCGTGTAATCGTGCACTCAAGCTTGAAAGCTTCTGAGGCATCCAGAAAAGCATCCGAAACCCCTCCTACAGGAGTACAACGATGCACTTTCCCTCAAGCCTTGGACCCAAAGCACTACCAAGAAGATAGCTTAGCAGCCCTGAGCCTGGAACCCGTTATTAATTCTACTAGCATTTTTGCTACTTTTACTATGATTAATACTCGTAGTAACGTTATTGAAGGCTTGTTTAATGAGATCTCTTTTCCGTCTGCACACAGGTACGGCCCACAGAAGCCTACGGGAGGCGAGCCAATCCGGCAAGCTTACACAATTCAGGGTTTAGGGTTTAGGGCTCAGACTTGCCAATAAAAAGGTCACTTGAACACCCGGGAACTGCTAGAACTGGCAGGAAATAGGTTGCCTAACCATTTCAACCCAAGCCCTAAACCCCTAAAACCCCGTACCCCTAAACGCTAAAATCCCCATCATTTCCAGGGAACCCCATATTTCAGAAATTACGCCTAAGACGACAACGAGGGATCCAGACGAATTCGTGCCAGTTCTATGTATATTGCTATTTGTTCTTGTTATATCGTGATGAAGATTTGAATCATCAGCATTACTAGTTATTGTTGTAGTTGGTTGCAATATTGTCATGCGCCATTTCTGACACATGAATAAGGGGATCCTAGCATCCAGTGAAACGTATTTCCTTTCTTTGGCTTAGTATTAGATATCATATTCTCCGTTGCCCAGAGACCTAAAGTATGGAATCCCAAAGCCTAAAGTAGGGAATCCCCAAGCCCGCGGAGGTTGTTCTGGGGTGAACGGATTTTTTCCATCGCGTACGACTGGGGGTTCGAGATTTATACAAAATGTTTGAACTGTTCGGGGATTCGGCGGTTTTTACTTTGGGACCTGAATCTTTTCGCCACATGTACTTGCTTGCACTGGTTTGCAGGTGCTATCTTTGAACGGCCTGGTTTCAGCTGCTCGTAGATAGGTGCAAGAAGCAAGCCGAGGGTGCACTACAACTTCATGTAGCTGCTCGAAGATAACTCAGCAGCTTGTGGTACAATCGAGAGGTCCGCTGCAATTTAGCACCGGCCCATTTGTGAAACGTGGGGCTTCTGAGCTCGCGGTTCTTCATCCTTCTGCGGGGTTTGAGCGACCTGCACGGCAACGCTAGGGCCAGGGCCTTGGCCTCGCTGTTCCAGCGAACTGCTCCCAGCTCCTGAAGGCTTTTCATCCTCGTTCTCGGCGACAGCTGCAGCCCCTTGCTGCCGGCGCTCACGGTGCTTATCGAGGGAAGCTTTTGAAATATGCAGAAAACCAGCCAAGATGGCAATGAGCGTGGTAAGGAAGAGGGGGCCTGCCATCCCAACAATTTGCAGGGCCGGTGGCTCAGCTGTGGCTTCTTCCTCTTCAGCCACTGCACTGCAGTAGTCTATGGGCCTGTATGCATTCAGCGCTTCCTGCACTTGCCCTTCTTGGTCTATTGTTGTCATTGCATAGCGCAGTGCCCGTACCCACTTATCGGAGACGGCCATCCCAATCGAACTGGCTGAAATGGGATCTCCAATCTTTGCAAGATCGCAGAAGCTTCCTCGATTGACAGCCTGTCCATAGCAGCGGACAGCATGGTCTAGTACACTTTGAAGTGAAGCACATTCTACATCGTGTTTCCGTATAGTGTGCCATCGCAGGGTCATGTCTTTGTGTGCAAAGACCTACATTGAAAGCCTGAGATGCTTCGAAATCCTCTTGCCGCAGCACGGCCACGTCGCAGGAGGAGCCCACGCTCGGCAGGACGTCACCCCTGGAATTAAGGACGACCACGTTGCTCTCTGCTACTCCGCTCCTGGCCCAGACTTTTACCGGGCATTTTCAGCCCAGAAGGGTCCTCAACAGCCCTAAGTATGGCCTATATTGTGCAATGGGCCATATTACACTAAAAAACCATGGAAGAAACCCCTGAACCCAAAACCCTAAACCACCCGAAATAGACCAGAGTATGCTGCGCTATACCTTTTGTGCAGGAGGCTTCTCGCACCGCCCCAACTCCAGGCTCCAGCTGTTCTATACTTATAAACCCTAGTACTATAATTCTTCTATAACGGTACTTTTGCAACACTAGAAATTCCATAATAATAGTAATTGTCATACTATACTAATACTGTACTAGTACTATAATAACGCTCTGACCCGAGGTTCAGGATCACCAGTCCGCTGTCTGACCTGTGCGCACAGACCTGGGGCAGGCTTCGGGGAGGCCTGGGGAGTTAGGGTCTGCAGGGTTTAGGTTTGAGGGCTCTTAGGGTCTATAGGGTTTAGGGTTCAGGGCGCCTTGAACCCTAAAATGAAGGGGCCCAGCTCCCTAAACCCCACCCCCCAAAAAAGGCCTTGTAGTTCAGTCGGATGGCATCATCGAGGCTGGAGATAGGGGAGGCCAGTCGATTCTCAACCACCAGGAAGGATGCCAAGGTGGCCTTCAGGGTTTTAGGGTGAAGGGTTCGTATATAGTGGCCTTAAGGATTTAGGGTTTGTGCATGCCCCGTGGGCTTAAGGGCCTTAAGGGCCGGAGAAAGCATCAAATCTAATCTTCGGCAAAATCAGCAAAAGGTTTCGTACTGGGCTACGAGGGGCCGTGTAGCCAGAGACCAGCAAGATCAAAAAGAACGTGAGCCCCAAAGATACTGTGCGCCCACCTGCTGTTCTGAAATGCGCAGGACAGGGGAGCACCAGACCCTAAACCTAATCACTGATAGTAAACCGTAGAAGAAACCTGATAGCAAATCCTAAGCCCTCCCACCACAACATGTAGCTTCAGGATTCCTCCTCAGCCATGGGTCTTGAAGAAAACGGAGTCCCCCCCCCCACCTACTGTCTGCGGCTGGAATTGCACTTCAAAAGAAACCAGGGTGTAGAAGGCAGCACAGAGAAATTCTCCAAAGGTCTCCGACTTCTTGACCGTCTCGAACTGGCCCCCTTCACCCCGCTCCTCAGGCTCATCTACTGCGGGCTTTGGGTTTAGGGTTTCGGGCTTGGGGGATCTAGGGTTGTTGGGGGTCTCACTTGGCGGAAAGTGTTTGCAAAGTGAGCCAAAGGTCAAAGCAGGTGATCAGCGTAGACATGAACAATACCATCGCCAGAACCATGCCTTGGCTGGCACCCGGAACGATAGGGCTTAGGGTTTAGGGCGTGAGGGCCGTGCATAGGAATAAAGCGGGGACCCACACAATAAGAGTCTCATAAACGGAAAATCTACGCATGTAAAGGAATCCAAATTAAACTCGTCTTTGGCTCCACCAATAGTCGTTTTAACATATATATTTTAGCAATGTATTATGTTGAATCTCCAATACAATTCCAAGACACATCCTGCCGACAAAAAGACGTTAAATGCGCACCCCTTCCCTATGCGACGTCCAGCAAAGTACTGGCCCAAAGCCATTGGTTGCAATATGGTACCTAGTGTTTAACCCTAAACCCTAAACCGGTTAGGATTTAGGGTTTCGGGCTCAGGCAACCCTTGGGCCGTTGCAGGGCGCCGCCAAGAAGCCCCAAAGTCCCGGAGTAAAGGGTCTGAAAGCCCGGCCGATCATGGACACGAAATCATCACTGGCCTGCTCGGCCTCCCATACACAACCCAGTGTTCTCTTTCGTACAGGATAAGACTTTAGAAAGTACGAGGCATGTATAAATACATATAAGATGTGTAGAGGATACTGCAAGCCTGCCTTTACATACCGTGCTAAGGGGCCATTGACTCTAGTATATTGTTGTTGTAAGGTCATTTTACAGCATTACATACAGCTCATTGACCAGGCGAAATCGATGTAAGAATCTCTGACCACGCCAAATCCCAAGAGGTACCTGAATGGGGCCCACCAGCACAGTCGGCTCTGTCCACATCGTGATGAAGGGGCTGGCATCTGTTCGCCTAGGGAGCATCACCATGGAGCAACCGCAGATGTCAACGAAGCCCATTCCCGTAGCCCAGGTGCACCTATCGCAAGACTTCGGGCAGCTTCCTTCAGAGCTGCCTACAGTACGGATGCTATTGGCTCAACGCTTAGATGAGTTCTCTTGCTGTGCAGAATACGAAACACAAGCGACCTCGACTATTGCGCTACGAGTCATGAAATCCACCACTTTAGACGCTCCCAAACACTAAGGTGCCCTAAATACCCCATTAACGCAACCATAAGCCTATACAGTCACGGAGGGTCAAAAACCAACAGGGTGCCAAAAAGTCCAGGCACAAGTCGAACTGGGAGCTGGAAGAGCTAACCCTCCTCATCTGCTCCAGGACAGCTTCATCTACTTCCTGTTGTGCGTCCACAAAGAAACCAGCGGCATTCCTTTCGCCCATCTAAGTCTAATGTTCAACTCAGCGCAACTTCTCGCTTCCCCCTAGTTCCAAAATGCCCGCTTCCTAGTTGTGAAATTCCGATCTGGCGGAACACTATCTACTTAGGGGGTGGCCATAGGTCTCAAGTAGGCTTACAAGGGGCCGGGGATTCGGGTCGGGTGGATCGGTGGGTTCTGGCCAAAATATTGTCCAAAATTGCACAATTGCAGAGGGGAGGGAGGGGGGGGGCTTGTGCCAAGGAGGCGATTATTTGACATCTTCACCCAAAGAACAATGCCAGAAGTTTCGTCCCAGGATCGTGAGGCTGTCGAAGACACGCTGGGTTGGCCCCCGTCCACGCTGATTGTTACAGATCCGACCCGGCTCGCTGCAGTAGTTGCCCTTCCAACCCCCAGTGTTGCCTGACTTGGACACTTGGAGCCTAGTACAGTATACGTCGGTATGATGGACCATCATATCATTTCCCTAAACCCTAAACCCCCAAACCCTAAATTACAAGATATAGAACGTTCATCCATCAGGCCGAAAGCCTAGCCTAGCAGGACGCCTACTCTCCGATACACCCTGAACCCTAAACCCCAAAATCCTGAAGCATAGTTTTATCTGTAGTATGCTCGAGTTTTCTTCGATGCACGATGCCGCCCCACTTCCTTGCAATACTGTAATACTATTATATTCGTACTGTACTACTAAGATGATACTATAGTAGTGCTACAATAGAATGATAATGCTATAATACAATGGTACCATAAAAATGTCATAATACTGTGATAGTACTATGATAAACACTAAAGTAACACAAAACTACAAAAGTAGTATTGGCTCAGTCGCCAATGAAAAGCACGCGCAGCGTCTGCCCGCGGATGCTCTCCGTGATGTTTGCCAGAGAGAACCTAATGTCTGCTTTGGGAATCCCATATTCTGCATAATGCCATGGTGCACTACTCTAAACGAACGATAAGAGTCCTATAATCGTACTATAATAATACTATACTCATACTACATCATAGTACTAGAGTAGTACTAAACACTACTCCAGTGTACCCGAAGTTCATCGGCACTGCCAGTTTGGGGAATCTTAAGCTAAAGGCACGAGTCTCGATAGCCGCAGGTGGTGTAGCTCCAGCGCAGGTCGGGGCTAAGCTCGCTCGCCTGGTTGGTGACTGCGCATCGATTTGGGTCCACGTAACACCTTGGCATTCAAAGGTCTCCCTTCAGAGGAGCCGCACAACAACCCATCCCATCCCCCGCATAACACAGGGCAAGTTCCCGCAGTTAAATACAGGTGCAGTTGCAAACTCATGCCATGCCTGACTCAAGCTGACGTTTCGTTGCAGATGTGCTGAGGGGCGACATCCTCACTGTTACAAAAAAAGCAACTCTTTTCTCAAGATGCTCAAGAGACCACATGCCCAGACACCATTCGGGCGGCGGAACAGACAAGCACTGGGGATACTGAGACCCATTCACGTCATGGGCACGACACCCCCAGCCATAGCCGGGATCAGTGAAATTCCTTGGTTCGTGGTATCTGTTTCCAGCCGGAAGAAAACACATGATGAGCCTTCAGCAAATCCCCAAAAACAACTGAAGCTAGCACCGTCTGCTACTATTGTAGAGTGCAGAACCCTAAACCCCCAAACCCTAACCCCCAAAAGGGACCCGAGAAAGGAGCCAATTTCGCAAGAGCCTCAAACAGGGGCATGCAGTGGAGCCTTCTCGAGGCATGGCCCCTCCCAGGAGGATTTCACATGCCAGGGCCAGCCACATCAAAGCAGGCGCCATGCTGAAGTCGGCTTGGGGCTAGGGTTTGGTCCCTCGCTCGACTGAGAGCACCGCAAGGAAAGATGGTCCGCTAACATGGGCTGCGCAGCAAAACACTTTGCTTGCTTGTTATCCTCTGCAATCCATCAGAACCACTAGACCAGCACGCTTCACCCTCCAACCTTCACTCAATGGACTACGGGTGTCGGGTTCAAGGTTCAAGGTTTAGGGCACGGAGCAAGCAGAAAACACTAAACCCACGCTTTTGAGGTCGTTGAAGGTTCCAGGCTTAAGTCCTTAGTCAGGCAAAATCATCATCCATAAGTATATAGTATAGGACCCAAAACCCCAAAACCCTAAACCCTGAACCCCAGCCTCCCAGCATGGCGTCACAGACCGGCACACATCATTATCCTGTCTGGGATTGGAAGCGTGTCCAACCTTCTAGCTTCCTAGAGCTGTCAATCTGTGTCGCATTGCTCATCGTTGCTAGCATCCCGCACTGCCTGCAGTATGAGCCAGCGGCCAGCAACCAGGCACATCTTCAGTGCATCTTGCTATTCCTAACCGCGCCGTTGACTGGAACATGAGTGGTTGTGGGGCGTCCACGTCAAGCACTTACTACGCTCTTGTGGCTTTGTAACAGAACCTAGCAATGCTATTTCTTGCATCCACTCAAAGCCAGGGTTTCGAAAACCTTGGAGCTGCTGCGTGCACACGGTTTGCTTGGCAATCGTGTCTGCACATTTGAGGGCTGAAGGTGAACCCAAGGCATTTTGGCCCTGCGACTTGCAAGCTTGTTGCCCAATCGCTTAATTGGTATGGCCACGATCAACGGAGACGCAGTGACTACCCTGCCAGCCTCTGAGGCCGGGGGGTGCGATCCCTTGCACGGCGCTGCTTAGGCGAGGGGTGCGGCATTGGTGGTGGATGGTCATGCCGTAAGCGAACCTTGTTGAAATCGACTCAAAGACTTTCCTGTCTCAGTTTTCCCTTCCAGTGGAACTCCGACGTGCTTCGGTGCTTCTCGATGCCATGCGTGAGTGGCTACAAGCTCCGTACAAGCTCCGAAGAGACAGCCAGGCTCCTCCAGGACCACTCATACCACGTGCAGTGCAGTCACGACCCGAAGCGAAGTCGTGACCGGGACGGCCTGGCCAGAGTGGGCGGGTGGGAGCTTCCCGGAGACGCGGGAAAGGACAGGTGAGCACTGCACTACACCTGCAGGGCTTCCGGGTTGAGGGGTGCAACCTATGCCTACCAGTCCTACTCCTACCGTGAGCGGCGGCCGTTCCTGCTGACAGTGCACTCCCACATTTTCGCCAGTCTCTCTGTCGGCCCATGAAGTTTCGCCTATCGGCCCGAAGATGCATCCATTGATGCATCACGTGTGCTTGACACTAGGCTAGACAAGCCACAACGCCCCCCGGTGCACGTGCCCAACGACATGTGCCAAAACTGTGGAGAAAAGGGAGCTGTGCAGGATGTTCCCTGCGAAACTCCCTTCAGAGGGCTAAGGTGCCCTGTGAGGGATGCATTATCGAAGCAAACTCGGTCAGAACATTTAATTTCAGATTGTCATGGACTTTGAGTTCTCCACTGCCGTGTTGCACTCAATGTCCAGTTTCGTCGAGGCTCCATCTAGATTGCTCTCAAAGCTACTAGTATTCTGCTCTACTTCCTCCTCCAAGGATGGAAGACGAGGTCGGGGGTCCTCCTCTGCGACCCAGCTCTTAACTCTCCGCAAACCCTTGCGCTGGGCCCGAGAAGCTTCTGCTTCTTCCAAGCTCTTCCCGAAGCCATCCCGGCTATAGAAGGCAGCGGTGTAGTAGATGGCTACTAAGAAGGAGAAGCAACCCGTAAAGATGAAGGGAGCATTGGGATCCAGCGCATCGTAGAGGAACGTGGAGGCGAAGCAAGCAATGCCGCTTCCGATGGACTCTCCGTGCCGCTTCAGGAGCTGCAGCGTCATGAAGATGCTGCCGTCTCCCAGGGAGAAGAACAAGGCCATGTCGGTGGCGGCCCCGAAGGAGTAGACGTAGACCGTACCCATCAAAATCTGGGAGCCCACGGCCAGGAAGATGTTTGGCATAACCATCAGGAAGCTCAGCACACCCCAAGCAAGTGTCAGAAGGGTGTACCAGTAAGGATGGCTGGTCAAAGAGTGCCAGAGCCACTTGCAACCCTTGGCCTTGAAGCCCTCCTCCTCCCCGTTTTCGGAGCTTAGGTAAGCGCTGACGTTCAACATCAGGGCCCCCAGGATGTCCCCGGCGGTCTGGCAGACACCTCGCTGGTTTTGCAACTGGGGGGAATGTTAAGACCCAGAGACTCAAGAGGTGTTTGAGCCGCCTGCCTGCCCAGGTAGCCGAAGTCCAGCCATGATGCTCACGGAAGAAGACTGCATACAGCGACCACTCCGTCATGTAGGTCATCTGGTGGTTGAAGGCTGCCAAGCAGATGAGGAAGGCGGGGAGCCAGAGGTCACGCGGCAGGCCCTTCTGCTCAGTGTTCAGGTCCAAAGTCTCTGCCTTTTGCACCTTCCCATGGGATACGAGCGATGAGGTTGATGCCTTGGAGCTCAAGGAAGATCGAGACATCCAGGAAAGCTGCGCTTGAACTCTAAGCGCAGAAGCCTCGCTGCGCTGTGAGCCGCCGCTGCTTATTCGGGGCCTCGTCGGCCGAGGATTTGGAAGATGGGCCGAGTCGGGCTGTGGCACGATGCAGGTCGGAGCCGGGCCAGGAGTGGCTTTCTCAACTTCCACCTGAAATGGGACGACCTGATCCTGGCTTCGCCTGCGGCAGCAGAAGCAGCCTTGCATGGCCTCACGGTAGGAGTTCCAAACGGCTGGCTCCGTGGCGTAGAGGAGGAGCTGCAAGGACTGCAATGCGACATGGTACCCCAATGTATCCCACGCCAACCCAGGTAGTCGAAGATCACCTGACCCAAAGCAGTTTCTGACAGGTTTAGGGCTTATAGGGTTCGGGGACTACCATCTCAAAAAAGCAAGGTGGTGGCTTTTGCGTCTAAGCTTTTCAGGCGCGCGGCTCCTCCGAAGGTGGAGGCGGAGGCATAGCACACGCTCAAGGATGCCAACTTCTGGGATGTTGCCCGCAAGGCCAGGGCCTGGGAGTTTTGGAAATTGTAACAAAAAACTGCAATACAATATTAATACTACTGGCATGAAGAGTAATGTAGTCAGAATGAGTAAAAACAAGCACCGTGGTAATAATAATGATGATAAAGACTAATAACAGCAATAGCAAGAGTACCTGGGAGCTGCGGAAGTTGTAGAAGACCAAGAAGTCGTTAGCAAGTTGAGAGTCGAAGCCCAACAAGGCGATCATCTGTAGCATCACAGCCGTCTCCCAATTTGGGTTCGTAAGGACGGGGATCAAAAACGAGAGGTGGACCACACAAATGGGAAGACACACCCAAAAGCCCCACTTCAGCATCGATGTCCCCACCACCATGCGCACGGCGAAGCCGAGGAAGCTGCAAAGCCCCAAGTGCCAGAGTGCCCATTCCTGCTCCCGGAAGTGGAGGCCAACCCCAGACCATGGAAACCCGTTGAGGCCCCCAACTGTCATTGGCAAGAGGAATGCTGCAAATCGAATCATGATGTTCCTTCACCTCTGCCAGTTCTTCAGGAGGAGCTTCTGCTGTTTGTGCTGGCGGAGCATCTGGTCCTCCCGACGCCGCGCGCACGCGCGGACCGTCTGTGGTGGGTACACACATGGCCCGCAAGCACTGGGAAGCCACGTCAGGGGTCTCCTTTGAGCCTAAAACTGGTGATGCTCCTCTGAATCGAGCACCGCAAAACACAGCCTTTGCATGCGACATGCAGGGGCATGCCTCGTCCATGAAGGCAAAAACCTGGTCCAGCGGACCGTGGAAACTGCTTTCTTCTCCGCTAGCAACAGCAGACCAAAGCTTCTCCTGTGATCGGACACAGCGTCACGCAGCCCCTTTTTGAGGCCCCGAAAAAGCCTTTAGACTCTTTAGGCTTTAGCTTGCTGCAGCCGGGAGTCGGTCAGCTTGGACTCAAACTTGCGAGCTGCAAACCGCGCCACATTGTTCGGTCTCGCGCCACAGCTCTCAAGAATGCTCCATTCTCGTCGGGACAGGAACTTCTGCCGGCCAGGAACAAAGAAATCAAAAATTGCATCTGCCCGATGCAACTCCAGCTCATCATCTATGCTTGGGAGGAAACCCCAAGAGAAAAGCGCATGGAGAAGGTCCTGTCGTGTGAGTGCTGTTTTGTTGACCTGGCTTGCCAACAGATCAAAGCCTGCATCGGTGCCGTAGGTGGGCGAACTGTCTGCCGCCAGGCATGGTGTAGCAAGCTAAGGACATCTTCCGGCACTTCTGCCCTGCTTGCGCACCACGTCCTTGTGTGAAGCTGCAACTGGAAGGATCTTGCGAGGCAACAGTTATCCAAAACCATCCAAATCAGTTATCGAAACGAAACCGTGTGTCTAATGGATTCTAGTCGGAGTGCGAAACAAATCCTGAGTAGAAAAGTGCGAAGTGCGATTCAGCCTCCCCTTCTAAGCCTCGCGCCTGTTTGTTGGGCTCCTTGGGATAGTTGCAATCGTTCCGATAGAACTTACATCGTCGCAGTGCGACTCGCTTCGACATCCTGTCACTGCCTAGATGACCATTGTGTGTGTAAAATGCCGATGTACCGAACTCTCTATTCATCTCCGAAGAACCTGCGCAGGACGCACCATCAGGACCCAAAACATTGGACATCGGAGTGCCAGAACACGACACACGCACTAGATAGCATGCCTGCATGGCTGGTCCTGCAAACTCAGGCCGAAGCAGATTCGCCGTCCCAGCACCTAGGTAGGCTTCGAAGGTTCGGGACGTTCTGTTCTTCGGGGCTGGGGCGAGAGTGCGCAAGGCCACGGGATCTTGTTCGCGGCAACGGATGGTGCTACATGCAGGGTCAGCGCTGTACAAAGTGCTCGACCATTTGGTGCGGTGCACTGTTACACTTGATTATAAAAAGGATAAACGCGTGGCCACATAGCCTTCCAGACTGGAATTCCTCTCGGCCACGCTGATTCTGTACCTGAAACTACTTAAAGAGTCTTAAAGCTGAAGCCAAAATTCAACTTCGCAAGCATTCTGGCGCAAGCAAGGCTGGGGCGCTTACAGCACACGATGTCCTTTCTTTTGTGTGGAATCCTGTGACGTTTTGTGAAATCGAATAAGCCTCGCTACCACACCGCCTGCCAAAACGTGCAGTGCATCTGACAATCATTCGACAAACGTTTCCTCGTCGATGCTGCTCCACAACTTTCTCAAGTAAAGCAAATCAAAGCCGCGGGGTTTCAAGCTCACCACGGCCCGAAGTTTTGTACCCGGGGCTTGGTGGCCTTCGTGGAGCTCTGCTTGGCTTTCTGGCCCTTGATCTTCAAGGCAGACTGAGCGGCGGCTAGCCTGGCAACTGGCACGCGGAAAGGCGAGCAGCTCACATAACCCAGGCCGATGCGTTCGCAGACCTCGATGGAGGCAGGGTCGCCGCCGTGCTCGCCGCAGATGCCCATCTTCATGTTCGGCCTGGTGCTGCGACCGCGCTCCACTGCCATGGTGATCAGCTCGCCGACGCCGTCGGGATCAAGGGACACGAAAGGATCCGTCTCCACGATTCCCTTAGCCTTGTACTCAGGCAAGAAGGATCCAGCATATCACGGCTCAAGCCGTAGGTGGTCTGCGTGAGGTCATTGGTGCCAAAGCTGAAGAACTCCGCCATTTCTGCCAGCTTTCCAGCCTGCAAGGCTGCACGAGGAAGCTCAATCATGGTGCCCACCTTGTAGCTGAAGGTAATGCCCTGCTCCTTCTTCACTTCATCTGCAGTCTTCTCAATGACACCCTTCAGCAGCTTCAGCTCTTCGGTGGTGGCCACAAGTGGCACCATGACCTCTGCCACTGGCAGCTTCTTGGAGCTTCGGCCGACCTCGGCTGCGGCTTCGAAGATGGCTCGCGCTTGCATCTCGCAGATCTCCGGATAATAGGTGATGGCCAGTCGGCAACCGCGATGGCCCAGCATGGGGTTGGCTTCCTGAAGCTCTGCAGCACGCCTGCGCACCCGCTCCAGGGGGACGCCTGCAGCTTTCGCCACCAGTGCCATCTCAGCTTCCGTGTGCCTTGGAAAAACTAAAACTCATGCGAAAGACAAACTCCTGCCTCCTGCTTCTCTGATCCAATGCAAATACCCGCAAATGAAACCCAAGTCTCAGAATGATTCTCTTCCAAAGCCGAGTCAAGCCGAGAAGCGGGATGAACTCGTGCAACGGAGGATCCAGCAAGCGCACCGTGACCGGCATTCCGTCCATAATCTTGAACAATTCGGTGATGTCTTCCCGCTGCATGACCAAGAGCTTCTCCAGCGCCTGTCGCCGATCGCTCTGATCTGTGGCCAAGATCATTTGCCTCATCGCCACAATGCGCTGGCCTTCGAAGAACATGTGCTCCGTCCTCACAAGACCGATGCCTTCCGCGCCGAACTCCTTGGCTTGTCGAGCATCGGCTGGAGTCTCTGCGTTTGCGCGGACCTCAGTCAGAAAACACTGAGACAACTGCTGCAGCCTAAGCCTCCACGCAGATGCTGTAAGGCTGCAAGTCTGATACCATGAATGTGCAACACCCTTTAGCTCAGCTCGGTGCCTTCATGTCCCGGAACTCATCCGCCCACTCCATGATGGTCCCGAAGGATCCAGACAGCTGTGGAGGCACCGTGGGAACTTCACCAACAATGACCTCTCCGGTGCTTCCGTCGATGGTGAGGATCTGCCCCTCCGCAACCGTCACCGAACCCACAGTGAGCTTCGCCGCAGCATAGTCTACTGTGATGGCGCCTGCACCCGCCACACAAGGGCGGCCCATCCCGCGGGCGACCACGGCAGCATGGCTTGTCATGCCACCTGCCAGCACAGCCAAGCTAAACAGCAAACGAGAAAGTGAAGGCTAGGCAATCCTGCTCGCGAAGGACCTGCCTCGAGTGGTCAGGACTCCCTCCGCTGCGTGCAAGCCGTGAATGTCGTCCGGGCTGGTCTCGATGCGGACAAGGATGACCTTCTCGCCATCCTTGCACCGTCGCACCGCTTCGTCAGCAGAGAAGACAACCTGAGAAAACCAGGCAAAGCACATCTGTACGTCGCTACAGTTTTCGCGATGGTCGTGCTTGCAGAGGTGAAATCGAAACCTTCTCAAGCAAGGCAACCTTGCCGCCAGCAGCACCGGGAGAGGCAGGAAGGCCCTTGGCGATCACCTCTTTCTTGGCCTTCGGGTCCAGCAGCTGGTCCACCAAATCCGGCTTCAAGCTCAGGATAGCTTGCGACTTGGAGATCAAGCCCTCCTGGGCCATGTCAACGGCAATCTTCAACGCAGCTGGAGCCGTCCGCTTTCCGTTGCGCGTCTGCAGCATGTAGAGTTTACCCTGTTGTATCGTGAACTCGATGTACTGCATATCCTGACAATAGACAACACTCCAAGCCTTGGATTATGCGGGCTTGGGGATAAGGAGGGGCGCAGTGCTTGAGCGAGCGTCCTTGTAGTGGGTCTCCAGCTGGCGCCGCACTGATAGCAGCTCCTTGAAAATTTGCGGCATCACCTCTTCCAAGGAGGGCAGATCCGAACCATGGGACTTGCGGGCTTTGATCGTCAGCTCTTGTGGTGTGCGGATTCCGGCGACCACGTCTTCGCCCTGCGCATTCACCAAGAACTCACCGTAGAATTCGTTGGTTCCGGTGGAGGGGTCACGAGTGAAGGCCACGCCTGCTGCAGGACTCCGACTTCACTTTACGCTACCTATACACTTCCACTGGAGGTCCCATGAGTCCCATGACATTTGCATCATGAACGAGGCGCGTTTCCTCAACAAAGACTGCGCAAACCCCGCTCGAACAGCAGTTGCACTCGCCGCGGTGACTGGAAAGCACCCGCACGGTACTGGGACCTAGCACCTGTGGCACAGTCGTTGCCCATGTTGCCGAAGACCATGGCCTGGACGTTCACAGCGGTGCCCCACCACTCCGGGATGTCGTGCAGCTGCCTGCTGGCGTTGCACGCCCCAACTTGGATTTGTTCCCGGCTTTGTTGAGTACTGTCTTTGTGTGAACTCAGTAGACGCACCCTGACATGCCAACAATCATGAGCAAAACACGCAGCATTCGAAACACGCCTGTCAGGCCACAACTTATGCCCGCAGTAGAACTCGCAACCCCCATATAGCATGCCCGTCTCTGGTTCGCACTAGGCTGTCCCAACATCTAACTCCAGGTATGAACGGACCTATGTCCCGTAGACTCTTGGCATGGACAAAGGGGCCTGTACGTTTTGGCTCGTTGGTTCATCCAGGAGTTGAAGACCTTGCAGTCTCGCATGTTGCGTGGACGGAGTGAAGACAACAGAACAGAATCCAATCTGTGTTTACTAGTCACTTTCAAGCCCAGACACAGCACCAATTGCACCCCACAGCTGGGCTTTCGGATCTTCTGGGAACTCCTCGCCCAGCTCCAGCTGCACCACAGCTTTGTACCTTAAATTCTTCTTGGGGGTGTTGACCTCACCATTGCAACCACTGCGCTAAGTACCTGTTGGTGACGATGGCCCTGTTCCTGGCTCAACAATCTTCGTTTGGCTAGCTTTCCTAAGACAAACCTTGCCTTGCTGGCTTTCTCCTTTACAGCAGGGCAGCAGAAAAGCGCAGAACAGAAAAACGGCGAGGACGAGACCAGAAGGCGTGCTGAAAAACGGAGAAGCAGATAAGAGAAGCAGGATCAGACCCAAGGGCGGAAAAGCCGAGAAGCAGAAAATCGGAGGGGAGGGGACGAAGCAAAAATCAAGCCACCCCCGCCAAGAAACTTTCGAGACTATCCCCCAATACCTCCAACGCCCTCAATCCGCTATTGCCCCAACAGCCCCTGATACCCCTGCAATAACCCCCAATATCTCGCTCAGGTGCGATTTAACCAACTTCTCCAGATCACAGGCAAGCAGCTCGCAGTCCTCTGCGGAAAGCTTGCAAAGAAAGTAGGCTGCAGGGCGGGCACAACACTCCAAGCGGCCGGGCCCTTACCAATACGTAACCCCAAAACACCCTGTGCAGACCTTTGCACAGGCCGTGCCGTCCTGCTTCACACCACGCTTCTCCTTCGCACGCTCCAGGTGCTTCTCGAAGTGATTGATCTCGATGCCCAGGACCACGTCGGAGTACATCTGCACGAAGCGCCTGTAGCCTCCGAGGTTCTGCAGAGAACTTGCGCTCGAGAGAGAGAGAGAGAGAGCGAGCGAGCGAGCGAGCGAGCGAGCTTGCGCGGTTTGGATTTGGAGAGTTGATAGCTTCGTCCGACTCCGACTCCAAAACACTAACAGGGTACTCAAAACAGCCCAGGAGCTGTCGAAGGCAAAGCGCCGGTCGCCAGACTGCTTGGCGAGTGCTTCCACCGTCTGATCGTTCAAGCCCAGATTGAGCACGGTATCCATCATTCCTGCCACAGCGCCAGAGCGGCACGCACAGTTCATCAGCACAGAAGTGAAGAAACTTGGATGGCACGTCGTACCATGCAGCTTCCACGCGCGTTCTTGCACGGAGACAATGTGTTAAGTGACCGAGGATTTGCAGACACCTGTCCTGGCATGGATGCACGCGCCCCGGACCGGACTGAGACCAGCAGCGGGTTGGTGGAGTCGCCAAAAACACGGCCGGTGCGCTTCTGGACCAAAGCCAGTGCCTCCTCGACCTTTCATGCGGCGAATGGAATGAGAGTCAGAGTAAATGAAAGGTACTAAGCCCGCGCCTGCTTGTTAAGCTCCTTGGGATAGTTGCAATCGTTCTGATAGAAGTGCGTGCAGATCTCCGTCGTCAGCGTGAACCCGGGTGGCACGGGCAGCCCGATGGAGGCCATTTCCTCAAGGGCACAGCTTGAACTCTGCAAGCCAAGACCCCCCCCCCCGGCACAAGCCTATGCGACTTGACAGCCACAGCCCTGGATTTGCATGGCCCAGATTCCGCAAGGTTGGCACCTTTGCCGCCAAGAAGATTCTTCATCTCGGATCGGCCGTCGGCCTGCATCTCCCGTAGCTGTTTCTCCAAGGCTAATGCTGCAAGACTCATGCACACTGCGATGTTTCGGCATGAACCAACTCACGAACTGTACTGCTGCACCGCCATGAAACTTGCAAGGTAGCAGTCAAGAATGCTGCGGCTCCTGGCCATCACCGAAATTGTCGACCCACGTGGCCATGTCTGGTACGAGTAGGAATACGCCTGACTCCTGATCACTCAGATGCTTTGAACCTCAAATGCTGCGCGGCATCGTCGAGGTGCCTTTTTTGCATAGTCCAACTGTGTCCAGGATAGAGAAATACTGCCGTGAAGACACAATCCTTTGGTCGTCGGCTGACGCTTCGAAAGTCACGTGATGCAATCTCTTGTCTGACTCCGTTACATCGTCGCAGTGCGACTCGCTTCGACATCCTGTCACTGCCTAGATGACCATTGTGTGTGTGTGTGTGTATGTGTACAATGCCGATGTACCGAACTCTCTATTCATCTCCGAAGAACCTGCACAGGACGCACCATCAGGACCCAAAACATTGGACATCGGAGTGCCAGAACACGACACACGCACTAGATAGCATGCCTGCATGGCTGGTCCTGCAAACGCAGGTCGAAGCGGATTCGCCGTCCCAGCACCTAGGTAGGCTTCGAAGGTTCGGGACGTTCTGTTCTTCGGGGCTGGGGCGAGAGTGCGCAAGGCCACGGGATCTTGTTCGCGGCAACGGATGGTGCTACATGCAGGGTCAGCGCTGTACAAAGTGCTCGACCATTTGGTGCGGTGCACTGTTACACTTGATTATTAAAAGGATAAACGCGTGGCCACATAGCCTTCCAGACTGGAATTCCTCTCGGCCACGCTGATTCTGTACCTGAAACTACTTAAAGAGTCTTAAAGCTGAAGCCAAAGTTCAACTTCGCAAGCATTCTGGCGCAAGCAAGGCTGGGACGCTTAAAGCACACGATGTCCTTTCTTTTGTGTGGAATTCCTGTGACGTTTTGTGAAATCGAATAAGCCTCGCTACCACACCGCCTGCCAAAACGTGCAGTGCATCTGACAATCATTCGACAAACGTTTCCTCGTCGATGCTGCTCCACAACTTTCTCAAGTAAAGCAAATCAAAGCCGCGCGGTTTCAAGCTCACCACGGCCCGAAGTTTTGTACCCGGGGCTTGGTGGCCTTCGTGGAGCTCTGCTTGGCTTTCTGGCCCTTGATCTTCAAGGCAGACTGAGCGGCGGCTAGCCTGGCAACTGGCACGCGGAAAGGCGAGCAGCTCACATAATCCAGGCCGATGCGTTCGCAGACCTCGATGGAGGCAGGGTCGCCGCCATGCTCGCCACAGATGCCCATCTTCATGTGGGGCCTGGTGCTGCGACCGCGCTCCACCGCCATGGTGATCAGCTCGCCGACGAAGTCGGGATCAAGGGACACGAAGGGATCCGTCTCCACGATTCCCTTAGCCTTGTACTCAGGCAAGAAGGATCCAGCATCATCACGGCTCAAGCCGTAGGTGGTCTGCGTGAGGTCATTGGTGCCAAAGCTGAAGAACTCCGCCATTTCTGCCAGCTTTCCAGCCTGCAAGGCTGCACGAGGAAGCTCAATCATGGTGCCCACCTTGTAGCTGAAGGTAATGCCCTGCTCCTTCTTCACTTCATCTGCAGTCTTCTCAATGACACCCTTCAGCAGTTTCAGCTCTTCGGTGGTGGCCACAAGTGGCACCATGACCTCTGCCACTGGCAGCTTCTTGGAGCTTCGACCTCGGCTGCGGCTTCGAAGATGGCTCGCGCCTGCATCTCGCAAATCTCCGGATAGGTGATGGCCAGTCGGCAACCGCGATGGCCCAGCATGGGGTTGGCTTCCTGGAGCTCTCTGCAGCACGCCTGCGCACCCGCTCCAGGGGAACGCCTGCAGCTTTCGCCACCAGTGCCATCTCGGCTTCCGTGTGCCTTGGAAAAACTAAAACTCATGCCAAAGACAAGCTCCTGCCTCCTGCTTCTCTGATCCAATGCAAACACCCGCAAATGAAACCCAAGTCTCAGAATGATTCTCTTCCAAAGCCGAGTCAAGCCGAGAAGCGGGATGAACTCGTGCAACGGAGGATCCAGCAAGCGCACCGTGACCGGCATTCCGTCCATAATCTTGAACAATTCGGCGATGTCTTCCCGCTGCATGACCAAGAGCTTCTCCAGCGCCTGTCGCCGATCGCTCTCATCTGTGGCCAAGATCATCTGCCGCATCGCCACAATGCGCTGTCCTTCGAAGAACATGTGCTCCGTCCTCACAAGACCGATGCCTTCCGCGCCGAACTCCTTGGCTTGTCGAGCATCGGCTGGAGTCTCTGCGTTTGCGCGGACCTCAGTCAGAAAACACTGAGACAACTGCTGCAGCCTAAGCCTCCACGCAGATGCTGTAAGGCTGCAAGTCTGATACCATGAATGTGCAACTTTTAGCTCAGCTCGGTGCCTTCATGTCCCGGAACTCATCCGCCCACTCCATGATGGTCCCGAAGGATCCAGACAGCTGTGGAGGCACCGTGGGAACTTCACCAACAATGACCTCTCCGGTGCTTCCGTCGATGGTGAGGATCTGCCCCTCCGCAACCGTCACCGAACCCACAGTGAGCTTCGCCGCAGCATAGTCTACTGTGATGGCGCCTGCACCCGCCACACAAGGGCGGCCCATCCCGCGGGCGACCACGGCAGCATGGCTTGTCATGCCACCTGCCAGCACAGCCAAGCTAAACAGCAAACGAGAAAGTGAAGGCTAGGCAATCCTGCTCGCGAAGGACCTGCCTCGAGTGGTCAGGACTCCCTCCGCTGCGCGCAAGCCGTGAATGTCGTCCGGGCTGGTCTCGATGCGGACAAGGATGACCTTCTCGCCATCCTTGCACCGTCGCACCGCTTCGTCAGCAGAGAAGACAACCTGAGAAAACCAGGCAAAGCACATCTGTACGTCGCTACAGTTTTCGCGATGGTCGTGCTTGCAGAGGTGAAATCGAAACCTTCTCAAGCAAGGCAACCTTGCCGCCAGCAGCACCGGGAGAGGCAGGAAGGCCCTTGGCGATCACCTCTTTCTTGGCCTTCGGGTCCAGCGTGGGGTGAAGCAGCTGGTCCACCAAATCCGGCTTCAAGCTCAGGATAGCTTGCGACGTGGAGATCAAGCCCTCCTGGGCCATGTCAACGGCAATCTTCAACGCAGCTGGAGCCGTCCGCTTTCCGTTGCGCGTCTGCAGCATGTAGAGTTTACCCTGTTGTATCGTGAACTCGATGTCCTGCATATCCTGACAATAGACAACACTCCAAGCCTTGGATTATGCGGGCTTTGGGGATAAGGAGGGGCGCAGTGCTTGAGCGAGCGTCCTTGTAGTGGGTCTCCAGCTGGCGCCGCACTGATAGCAGCTCCTTGAAAATTTGCGGCATCACCTCTTCCAAGGAGGGCAGATCCGAACCATGGGACTTGCGGGCTTTGATCGTCAGCTCTTGTGGTGTGCGGATTCCGGCGACCACGTCTTCGCCCTGCGCATTCACCAAGAACTCACCGTAGAATTCGTTGGTTCCGGTGGAGGGGTCACGAGTGAAGGCCACGCCTGCTGCAGGACTCCGACTTCACTTTACGCTACCTATACACTTCCACTGGAGGTCCCATGACATTTGCATCATGAACGAGGTGCGTTTCCTCAACAAAGACTGCGCAAACCCCGCTCGAACAGCAGTTGCACTCGCCGCGGTGACTGGAAAGCACCCGCACGGTACTGGGACCCAGCACCTGTGGCACAGTCGTTGCCCATGTTGCCGAAGACCATGGCCTGGACGTTCACAGCGGTGCCCCACCACTCCGGGATGTCGTGCAGCTGCCTGCTGGCGTTGCACGCCCCAACTTGGATTTGTTCCCGGCTTTGTTGAGTACTGTCTTTGTGTGAACTCAGTAGACGCACCCTGACGCACCCTGACATGCCTACAATCATGAGCCAAACATGCAGCATTCGAAACACACCTGTCAGGCCACAATTTCGACGGTGAAGTATCTCCACTTCTGATCGCAGTAGAACTCGCAACCCCATACAGCATGCCCGTCTCTGGTTCGCACTAGGCTGTCCCAACATCTAACTCCAGGTTAGAACGGACCTATGTCCCGTAGACTCTTGGCATTGACAAAGGGGCCTGTACGTTTTGGCTCGTTGGTTCATCCAGGAGTTGAAGACCTTGCAGTCTCGCATGTTGCGTGGACGGAGTGGAGACAACAGAACAGACTCCAATCTGTGTTTACTAGTCACTTTCAAGCCCAGACACAGCACCAATTGCACCCCACAGCTGGGCTTTCGGATCTTCTGGGAACTCCTCGCCCAGCTCCAGCTGCACCACAGCTTTGTACCTTAAATTCTTCTTGGGGGTGTTGACCTCACCATTGCAACCCCTGCGCTAAGTACCTGTTGGTGACGATGGCCCTGTTCCTGGCTCAACAATCTTCGTTTGGCTAGCTTTCCTAAGACAAACCTTGCCTTGCTGGCTTTCTCCTGTACAGCAGGGCAGCAGAAAAGCGCAGAACAGAAAAACGGCGAGGACGAGACCAGAAGGCGTGCTGAAAAACGGAGAAGCAGATAAGAGAAGCAGGATCAGACCCAAGGGCGGAAAAGCCGAGAAGCAGAAAATCGGAGGGGAGGGGACGAAGCAAAAATCAAGCCACCCCCGCCAAGAAACTTTCGAGACTATCCCCCAATACCTCCAACGCCCTCAATCCGCTATTGCCCCAACAGCCCCCGATACCCCTGCAATAACCCCCAATATCTCGCCCAGGTGCGATTTAACCAACTTCTCCAGATCACAGGCAAGCAGCTCGCAGTCCTCTGCGGAAAGCTTGCAAAGAAAGTAGGCTGCAGGGCGGGCACAACACTCCAAGCGGCCGGGCCCTTACCAATACGTAACCCCAAAACACCCTGTGCAGACCTTTGCACAGGCCGTGCCGTCCTGCTTCACACCACGCTTCTCCTTCGCACGCTCCAGGTGCTTCTCGAAGTGATTGATCTCGATGCCCAGGACCACGTCGGAGTACATCTGCACGAAGCGCCTGTAGCCTCCGAGGTTCTGCAGAGAACTTGCGCTCGAGAGAGAGAGAGAGAGAGCGAGCGAGCGAGCGAGCGAGCGAGCTTGCGCGGTTTGGATTTGGAGAGTTGATAGCTTCGTCCGACTCCGACTCCAAAACACTAACAGGGTACTCAAAACAGCCCAGGAGCTGTCGAAGGCAAAGCGCCGGTCGCCAGATTGCTTGGCGAGTGCTTCCACCGTCTGATCGTTCAAGCCCAGATTGAGCACGGAATCCATCATTCCTGCCACAGGGCCAGAGCGGCACGCACAGTTCATCAGCACAGAAGTGAAGAAACTTGGATGGCACGTCGTACCATGCAGCTTCCACGCGCGTTCTTGCACGGAGACAATGTGTTAAGTGACCGAGGATTTGCAGACACCTGTCCTGGCATGGATGCACGCGCCCCGGACCGGACTGAGACCAGCAGCGGGTTGGTGGAGTCGCCAAAAACACGGCCGGTGCGCTTCTGGACCAAAGCCAGTGCCTCCTCGACCTTTCATGCGGCGAATGGAATGAGAGTCAGAGTAAATGACAGGTACTAAGCCCGCGCCTGCTTGTTAAGCTCCTTGGGATAGTTGCAATCGTTCTGATAGAAGTGCGTGCAGATCTCCGTCGTCAGCGTGAACCCGGGTGGCACGGGCAGCCCGATGGAGGCCATTTCCTCAAGGGCACAGCTTGAACTCTGCAAGCCAAGACCCCCCCCCCCCGGCACAAGCCTATGCGACTTGACAGCCACAGCCCTGGATTTGCATGGCCCAGATTCCGCAAGGTTGGCACCTTTGCCGCCAAGAAGATTCTTCATCTCGGATCGGCCGTCGGCCTGCATCTCCCGTAGCTGTTTCTCCAAGGCTAATGCTGCAAGACTCATGCACACTGCGATGTTTCGGCATGAACCAACTCACGAACTGTACTGCTGCACCGCCATGAAACTTGCAAGGTAGCAGTCAAGAATGCTGCGGCTCCTGGCCATCACCGAAATTGTCGACCCACGTGGCCATGTCTGGTACGAGTAGGAATACGCCTGACTCCTGATCACTCAGATGCTTTGAACCTCAAATGCTGCGCGGCATCGTCGAGGTGCCTTTTTTGCATAGTCCAACTGTGTCCAGGATAGAGAAATACTGCCGTGAAGACACAATCCTTTGGTCGTCGGCTGACGCTTCGAAAGTCACGTGATGCAATCTCTTGTCTGACTCCGTTACATCGTCGCAGTGCGACTCGCTTCGACATCCTGTCACTGCCTAGATGACCATTGTGTGTGTGTGTGTGTAAAATGCCGATGTACCGAACTCTATATTCATCTCCGAAGAACATGCACAGGACGCACCATCAGGACCCAAAACATTGGACATCGGAGTGCCAGAACACGACACACGCACTTGATAGCATGCCTGCATGGCTGGTCCTGCAAACTCAGGCCGAAGCGGATTCGCCGTCCCAGCACCTAGGTAGGCTTCGAAGGTTCGGGACGTTCTGTTCTTCGGGGCTGGGGCGAGAGTGCGCAAGGCCACGGGATCTTGTTCGCGGCAACGGATGGTGCTACATGCAGGGTCAGCGCTGTACAAAGTGCTCGACCATTTGGTGCGGTGCACTGTTACACTTGATTATTAAAAGGATAAACGCGTGGCCACATAGCCTTCCAGACTGGAATTCCTCTCGGCCACGCAATTTTTTAAACCTGAAACTACTTAAAGAGTCTTAAAGCTGAAGCCAAAGTTCAACTTCGCAAGCATTCTGGCGCAAGCAAGGCTGGGGCGCTTAAAGCACACGATGTCCTTTCTTTTGTGCGGAATTCCTGTGACGTTTTGTGAAATCGAATAAGCCTCGCTACCACACCGCCTGCCAAAACGTGCAGTGCATCTGACAATCATTCGACAAACGTTTCCTCGTCGATGCTGCTCCACAACTTTCTCAAGTAAAGCAAATCAAAGTCTCGCGGTTTCAAGCTCACCACGGCCCGAAGTTTTGTACCCGGGGCTTGGTGGCCTTCGTGGAGCTCTGCTTGGCTTTCTTGCCCTTGATCTTCAAGGCAGACTGAGCGGCGGCCAGCCTGGCGACTGGCACGCGGAAAGGCGAGCAGCTCACATAATCCAGGCCGATGCGTTCGCAAACCTCGATGGAGGCAGGGTCGCCGCCGTGCTCGCCGCAGATGCCCATCTTCATGTGGGGCCTGGTGCTGCGACCGCGCTCCACCGCCATGGTGATCAGCTCGCCGACGCCGTCGGGATCAAGGGACACGAAGGGATCCGTCTCCACGATTCCCTTAGCCTTGTACTCAGGCAAGAAGGATCCAGCATCATCACGGCTCAAGCCGTAGGTGGTCTGCGTGAGGTCATTGGCGCCAAAGCTGAAGAACTCCGCCATTTCTGCCAGCTTTCCAGCCTGCAAGGCTGCACGAGGAAGCTCAATCATGGTGCCCACCTTGTAGCTGAAGGTAATGCCCTGCTCCTTCTTCACTTCATCTGCAGTCTTCTCAATGACCCCCTTCAGCAGCTTCAGCTCTTCGGCGGTGGCCACAAGTGGCACCATGACCTCTGCCACTGGCAGCTTCTTGGAGCTTCGGCCGACCTCGGCTGCGGCTTCGAAGATGGCTCGCGCCTGCATCTCGCAGATCTCCGGATAGGTGATGGCCAGTCGGCAACCGCGATGGCCCAGCATGGGTTGGCTTCCTGAAGCTCTGCAGCACGCCTGCGCACCCGCTCCAGGGGAACGCCTGCAGCTTTCGCCACCAGTGCCATCTCGGCTTCCGTGTGCCTCGGAAAAACTAAAACTCATGCGAAAGACAAGCTCCTGCCTCCTGCTTCTCTGATCCAATGCAAACACCCGCAAATGAAACCCAAGTCTCAGAATGATTCTCTTCCAAAGCCGAGTCAAGCCGAGAAGCGGGATGAACTCGTGCAACGGAGGATCCAGCAAGCGCACCGTGACCGGCATTCCGTCCATAATCTTGAACAATTCGGTGATGTCTTCCCGCTGCATGACCAAGAGCTTCTCCAGCGCCTGTCGCCGATCGCTCTCATCTGTGGCCAAGATCATCTGCCTCATCGCCACAATGCGCTGGCCTTCGAAGAACATGTGCTCCGTCCTCACAAGACCGATGCCTTCCGCGCCGAACTCCTTGGCTTGTCGAGCATCGGCTGGAGTCTCTGCGTTTGCGCGGACCTCAGTCAGAAAACACTGAGACAAGTGCTGCAGCCTAAGCCTCCACGCAGATGCTGTAAGGCTGCAAGTCTGATACCATGAATGTGCAACACCCTTTAGCTCAGCTCGGTGCCTTCATGTCCCGGAACTCATCCGCCCACTCCATGATGGTCCCGAAGGATCCAGACAGCTGTGGAGGCACCGTGGGAACTTCACCAACAATGACCTCTCCGGTGCTTCCGTCGATGGTGAGGATCTGCCCCTCCGCAACCGTCACCGAACCCACAGTGAGCTCAGCCGCAGCATAGTCCACTGTGATGGCGCCCGCACCCGCCACGCAAGGACGGCCCATCCCGCGGGCGACCACTGCAGCATGGCTTGTCATGCCACCTGCCAGCACAGCCAAGCTAAACAGCAAACGAGAAAGTGAAGGCTAGGCAATCCTGCTCGCGAAGGACCTGCCTCGGGTGGTCAGGACTCCCTCCGCTGCGTGCAAGCCGTGAGTGTCGTCCGGGCTGGTCTCGATGCGGACAAGGATGACCTTCTCGCCATCCTTGCACCGTCGCACCGCTTCGTCAGCAGAGAAGACAACCTGAGAAAACCAGGCAAAGCACATCTGTACGTCGCTACAGTTTTCGCGATGGTCGTCCTTGCAAAAGTAAAATCGAAACCTTCTCAAGCAAGGCAACCTTGCCGCCAGCAGCACCGGGAGAGGCAGGAAAGCCCTTGGCGATCACCTCTTTCTTGGCCTTCGGGTCTAGCGTGGGGTGAAGCAGCTGGTCCACCAAATCCGGCTTCAAGCTCAGGATAGCTTGCGACTTGGAGATCAAGCCCTCCTGGGCCATGTCAACGGCAATCTTCAACGCAGCTGGAGCCGTCCGCTTTCCGTTGCGCGTCTGCAGCATGTAGAGTTTACCCTGTTGTATCGTGAACTCGATGTCCTGCATATCCTGACAATAGACAACACTCCAAGCCTTGGATTATGCGGGCTTTGGGGATAAGGAAGGGCGCAGTGCTTGAGCGAGCGTCCTTGTAGTGGGTCTCCAGCTGGCGCCGCACTGATAGCAGCTCCTTGAAAATTTGCGGCATCACCTCTTCCAAGGAGGGCAGATCCGAACCATGGGACTTGCGGGCTTTGATCGTCAGCTCTTGTGGTGTGCGGATTCCGGCGACCACGTCTTCGCCCTGCGCATTCACCAAGAACTCACCGTAGAATTCGTTGGTTCCGGTGGAGGGGTCACGAGTGAAGGCCACGCCTGCTGCAGGACTCCGACTTCACTTTACGCTACCTATACACTTCCACTGGAGGTCCCATGACATTTGCATCATGAACGAGGTGCGTTTCCTCAACAAAGACTGCGCAAAGCCCGCTCGAACAGCAGTTGCACTCGCCGCGGTGACTGGAAAGCACCCGCACGGTACTGGGACCCAGCACCTGTGGCACAGTCGTTGCCCATGTTGCCGAAGACCATGGCCTGGAAGTTCACAGCGGTGCCCCACCACTCCGGGATGTCGTGCAGCTGCCTGCTGGCGTTGCACGCCCCAACTTGGATTTGTTCCCGGCTTTGTTGAGTACTGTCTTTGTGTGAACTCAGTAGACGCACCCTGACATGCCAACAATCATGAGCAAAACATGCAGCATTCGAAACACACCTGTCAGGCCACAATTCATGCCCGCAGTAGAACTCGCAACCCCCATATAGCATGCCCGTCTCTGGTTCTCAGTAGGCTGTCCCAACATCTAACTCCAGGTATGAACGGACCTATGTCCCGTAGACTCTTGGCATGGACAAAGGGGCCTGTACGTTTTGGCTCGTTGGTTCATCCAGGAGTTGAAGACCTTGCAGTCTCGCATGTTGCGTGGACGGAGTGAAGACAACAGAACAGAATCCAATCTGTGTTTACTAGTCACTTTCAAGCCCAGACACAGCACCAATTGCACCCCACAGCTGGGCTTTCGGATCTTCTGGGAACTCCTCGCCCAGCTCCAGCTGCACCACAGCTTTGTACCTTAAATTCTTCTTGGGGGTGTTGACCTCACCATTGCAACCCCTGCGCTAAGTACCTGTTGGTGACGATGGCCCTGTTCCTGGCTCAACAATCTTCGTTTGGCTAGCTTTCCTAAGACAAACCTTGCCTTGCTGGCTTTCTCCTTTACAGCAGGGCAGCAGAAAAGCGCAGAACAGAAAAACGGCGAGGACGAGACCAGAAGGCGTGCTGAAAAACGGAGAAGCAGATAAGAGAAGCAGGATCAGACCCCCAAGGGCGGAAAAGCCGAGAAGCAGAAAATCGGAGGGGAGGGGACGAAGCAAAAATCAAGCCACCCCCGCCAAGAAACTTTCGAGACTATCCCCCAATACCTCCAACGCCCTCAATCCGCTATTGCCCCAACAGCCCCTGATACCCCTGCAATAACCCCCAATATCTCGCTCAGGTGCGATTTAACCAACTTCTCCAGATCACAGGCAAGCAGCTCGCAGTCCTCTGCGGAAAGCTTGCAAAGAAAGTAGGCTGCAGGGCGGGCACAACACTCCAAGCGGCCGGGCCCTTACCAATACGTAACCCCAAAACACCCTGTGCAGACCTTTGCACAGGCCGTGCCGTCCTGCTTCACACCACGCTTCTCCTTCGCACGCTCCAGGTGCTTCTCGAAGTGATTGATCTCGATGCCCAGGACCACGTCGGAGTACATCTGCACGAAGCGCCTGTAGCCTCCGAGGTTCTGCAGAGAACTTGCGCTCGAGAGAGAGAGAGAGAGAGCGAGCGAGCGAGCGAGCGAGCGAGCTTGCGCGGTTTGGATTTGGAGAGTTGATAGCTTCGTCCGACTCCGACTCCAAAACACTAACAGGGTACTCAAAACAGCCCAGGAGCTGTCGAAGGCAAAGCGCCGGTCGCCAGATTGCTTGGCGAGTGCTTCCACCGTCTGATCGTTCAAGCCCAGATTGAGCACGGAATCCATCATTCCTGCCACAGGGCCAGAGCGGCACGCACAGTTCATCAGCACAGAAGTGAAGAAACTTGGATGGCACGTCGTACCATGCAGCTTCCACGCGCGTTCTTGCACGGAGACAATGTGTTAAGTGACCGAGGATTTGCAGACACCTGTCCTGGCATGGATGCACGCGCCCCGGACCGGACTGAGACCAGCAGCGGGTTGGTGGAGTCGCCAAAAACACGGCCGGTGCGCTTCTGGACCAAAGCCAGTGCCTCCTCGACCTTTCATGCGGCGAATGGAATGAGAGTCAGAGTAAATGACAGGTACTAAGCCCGCGCCTGCTTGTTAAGCTCCTTGGGATAGTTGCAATCGTTCTGATAGAAGTGCGTGCAGATCTCCGTCGTCAGCGTGAACCCGGGTGGCACGGGCAGCCCGATGGAGGCCATTTCCTCAAAGGCACATCGAAGCTTGAACTCTGCAAGCCAAGACCCCCCCCCGCCCGCACAAGCCTATGCGACTTGACAGCCACAGCCCTGGATTTGCATGGCCCAGATGCCGCAAGGTTGGCACCTTTGCCGCCAAGAAGATTCTTCATCTCGGCTCGGCCGTCGGCCTGCAGCTCCAGTGCAACTGTCTGGAAGGTGGCACTGCAAGAGCTCTGCGCACCGCGATGTCTCCTCATGAACTTATGACTTATGAGACCTACTGGCACAGCAGTTCCAGCTCCTTGCCATCACCGAAGTTGTAGACCCAGGTGGCCATGTCTGGTAGGAATACGGGTGACTCCTGATCACTCAGATGCTTTGAACATCAAATGCTGCGCGGCATCGTCGAGGTTCCTTTTTTTTACCATGTCTGCGAAAACCTTTGAACTCTGATCAGATTGAACCTGAAATGCTTTAAATCGTTCAACTTTGCATGCTTGCGGTCTTCAGTCAAAAGGCATAGCAGGCATAGCAGCAATCTCCAAATACTGCCGCCGCCCAGTGACCCTCCCAATCTCGACTCCGGCTTATCTCCGCACAGAAGCATCAGATAACGACATGCCAAAGCCCAGAATCCTGAACTGCGATCAACAACTGTTGGCATAAACAAGTCCATGCAAAGGACAGGACCAGCAAGGACAGGAGGAGTATCAATCATGGCTCACGTCTGCAACTAACCCTTGAGCACACGTTCAGTTGCTTAGGCCGAAGCCGACGCGCGGTGGTTGTGCACCCGTGCCCCAGAGCCTGGGCAGGGTTCCCAGCCGTCGCGAAATGCAGAAACATATGCAACGGTCGCCTAACTTCTACAGCTGATGTATCAGAAACGCCAAACAAGCTAGCTTGCTGACGGGGCCTTCGCAAAGCCCTCGGTCCAAGAAAACAAAACTGTGGTCAAGGCTAAGGGTTGAAGCCAGCTTAAGCCCGACAATGAAAAATGACCGCATCAGTGTTTTTACGAGCTGTTACCTGGCAACTGGACAGGCACTCAGAGCGAGTGCCTTGCTGGAATTTCCTGATCATGACGACCATGTGAGCAAAGGATTTTGCGCAGTACTATGCAGCCATTTTCGGAAGTACAATTACAAACCGATATCTCCGAAACTATCCGCGACATGCATCACATCTACAAAGCCAAAACCAGTTGTTGCGGGTTGGAGTTCTGGTGTTCTGATTCCAGGCAGAACCTGAGCTCAATCGTAAACTCTGACAGAAGAACCACCATTGAAAGCGTTTCGTGAAGCTAAACATGATCGGAGAAAGGATGTGGAGTAGACCATCTCCCGCACACATGGCAGCTAACCTGTCGAGATCTCCATCCCGTCGAGCCCACTTCCACTGCAGGATACGGAGACTAAGGGGTTTAGGACTACCCTAAGACTGCCACTCGCAGAACTAATCTCTCTAGTTCTGAATTGGAGAAGGAAGGAGCAACTGCTAAGGCGGGCTGCGACGATGAGTCTAAAAGCTTTCCTTGCTAGTTCGGTTCCTGATGCGTATACGGAAGTAGAATGGAACTCAAGCGTCTTAAGGCCAGACGGGAATTGGAAATCTACTCCCGTGACCTCCAACTTCTTGTAAGTCTGCATGACGTTGCAGGAACCTTTTGTCGGATACGCTCTGGTAGCAGTTCAGAAATTCAGAAAGCTGGAAACCAGATCATCACCGCTAGTACTGTCGAGCTGACTTCGTTTGCGATGTCCACACGATGTGGCACGCAGTTTATTCACATCGGCACTGGACGTCCTGGATGGACTGTGGTACATGGTATACCATGCCATCGTCCTGCCCGCTCTACCCGTGCCGTCATTACCCAGGCGAGCGTCAACATTCGACAAGTCGCGATCGGATCTGACGAGCCGAGCGAGGCGCTCCTTTTTCCTGGCCTGCGGGTACCGACGGTCCTGCGACCCGGAGGTGACACTTCCCCACCCTGAAAATCTCATGTTCAAGGCTCAAATTCAGAAGATGCAACTGTACTTCAGTGACGTCACTACACCACAAGGGCTCTTGCTTTGTGAGCACCGTACAAGGGCCTTCTGCACATCGGAGGTAAGCCCCCGAGGCCGCGCTCGCACTCATTGGCTCATTCCCCCAGCTTCTCCCCCAGTTCGAGGATGCGAATGAACTCATCCTCGGGAAAGCTGGGAGCACGGGGCAATTCTTGCCCGTGTTTGCATAAACGCCATGTCGTGCCTCGCAACATGAATCGAGCCACCTGCAATGCTCTAAGCCTGTAGAGACCTTCTTCGAAGTCCAACGCAAAGTGATGTGGGGTGCTGGACGGAGTAAGTTGCCGCATGCCACTGGGACAGCATGCTTTCCCAGCAGGTCCTCGGTGAAGGACAGGACGCGCGCCGCCTCCATGTGAGCCCGCTGCCTCTTCAGCACCTGGACTGTTACAGGACAGGAGACCTGGGAAAGGACGGGAGTTCTGCAGCCGCTGGCCTCGATGAGCTTCATCTGCTTTTTGAAGGCGTTGATCTGCAGGAAATCGGACCGGAAAATTGAGGGTTGCCCGGTTGCTCTACCACGCCTGCTTGGAACCGAGTTTTCCCTCATTTACACCGGGACACGACCTGCCTGCAGACATGTTCAGCTTTTTCGTCACCATCGACCCCTGTGCCTCCCGATAGCTTACACCCACCCGCCCTCAGGACGGCTGAAGCAAAACCAGATGTCCTCCGTTTGGGGTGACTTCGCATCCCTCTCAGCTCGATGCCAGCTCTCCGCGCTGCCGTTCGAGCTTCCTGACCTTTCACAAGGACTGTGTTGTGTGGCCTTCTCTGGAGGCTTCTCCAAATCTAATCTCAAGCTTCGAAGACACAACACTCTAGCGGCCTCTCCGGTCAAGCGGTCTACTTCTTTGCGGTCAGAGGCGACCCGGTCGCGCTCCTCAGCTCAACGAGCTCCAACCGGAATAACAGCAGGTTGAGGCTGCTAGGGAACTTAGCCGAGAAGAAACTGACCACACATAGCTTGCCAAGTCTTTGGGCTTCAATGCTTAGCTTGTTTTAAGTGCAATGACCTGTAGCATTCCTGAAGAGAAATGCGAGTCAGACCACAAGCAAAAGGAAATCCGTGGCATGCTGCTGCTCTGCTTTGATATCGCACATCCTCTCTCGTTTTGTTCTCACTCCTCTCGTCTTTCTGCGTCCTGGACGTTCGCAGTCGCGGCAGCAGCCTGTCGACGAGGGCCCAACAGTGATTTGGGGATCTCCGGAGCCCACTGGTGGCGGAGCAGACTGGAAACGCTGCAGTCATCCCGACGGAGTCTTTGACTGAGCCTGTCATGTTTGCCACCTTTGGGCGACCAATTGGGTTTTTAGGTGCTCTCTTAAGTCTCAAGCGAGAATGAGGCTCTTCAAGTTTCGACTGTTGGGACATATTCGAGGACTTGCTTGGCGCGTCGGAATTGAACAAACTCGCTTCGACGGACTGACAAGGCGTTTGTGGGGACGAGTTGGGCCCGCCGGCTTAGAGAAGACAGCTCTGGCGCAACGCCTGGGATGGGGTCAGCGGCGGCCCAAAGGATGGTATTGGAGCACACCGGATGCTTGCTGGGCACCGCCTACGACCGAGTGCAGCGCGGCGAGGCCCTGCCTTCCACTTGTCGCTCTCCTCCATGAGCCGATTCAGGCGGGCTTCCTGAAGACTTCTGGCGTCGGGCTGGGCTGGGGCTGGGGGGCCCTGCTTTGGTGGTTTTCATGCTTGCGGTTTTTGCAGTTTTAGGGTTGTGGGCTAGAGAACTAGATCACAACGGAGCAAACCTGTTCCACCCCCTTTTTGCCGGGCCTTGCTGCTGCATTCCGCCTCTGCTTTCCGCAACTTCAAGTCCAGCTGGTCTCGCTCCTCTGCATTTCTTGAAGCCCTCTCTGAGTTCCTTAAAATTCCTAGGTTTGCCTAATCGGCATAGACGAACTGTTCCGCACGGCAGTCTCTATGCTTGCACGAGCTGCATGTGAAGCTCAACTGCCTAGGGCCGCAATCACTGAGCTTCCACTACAAGATTTGAACAAATCCTTCCCGAGGCCCTCCTTTGTTAGCTCCGAGCGTTCCACCTCAAGGTCTTTGGCCTGCAGGGGTGGCTTGAAGCTTAGAACGCTGAGACTGTTTGGTGGGTGTTTACAGGGTTCGGCATTCTGGTTCAAGATGACCCCAGAAATCCCCAGAAGCAAGAAGCCACAAAATCCCGGATCGGATGGCCCTCAGCTCTGGGGGATTGAACATGTAGGGCTTCGGTACTTTTGGGTGCTCTTTTTGGGGTCCGTATCACCGATTTGACACGCTTTCGGCGCGCCTTGGTCTCTAAGCTGGCGAGCTGCTTCTTGAGCTTCTCCTGCTGTGGAACTCAGGACTCAAATATACCACTAATATACTACCATATGCGATCATATACTACAACATGCTTTATTATGCCACACTATACTAGAATCTATAGTAGCTAGAACATGCTATAATGCAAAGAAAACACGATTTCCTGCTCCAGCTACGGACCTCCGTCTCCTAGCACCCGATTTATTATCGTATACTACAATAGCGAAAATACATACTGCAGTATATATCTATAGTACAGCTTACTGCAGTGTCATCGTGTCAATCTACCTGGCCCTGGTTGCAGGCTGGCCAGCAAACCACCGTCTCCTGCGACTGCTCGAGGGATGCGCTTGTCTTCCTGCAGGAGCATCGTGTGCTGGTCAACCGCATCCAGAACCCCTGTGTTGCAGCAAGACAACCATGAAAGCAAGCGCAGCCCCAAGTGTGCTGCGAATTCAATTCATGGCGACCCCTTGTCAGACGAGCGTCTGCAAGCGCTTCGCCTCTTCAGAAGCCTGAAGCAGGCCGTGTTCCCGTTGTCATGACCTGACCCTCCTGGTGCCTTTATGGCATCGCTTCCCGAGGCTCCAGAGGCTGTCAAGACTGGATGCTATGGAACTAAAAGGGGCGAATGCACAAGACGAAGGAGATGCTGCGGAACCTGATCTGCAGAAACCCCACACGAACCCCTCGCCCCCTCGACGTCAGAAGACAAGCAGAAGCATGGACCGTTGCCTGTTTGCTCTCTTGCCGGGCCTCTTGTGCCTGAGGCTTGATGGGTGAGATGGAGCTTGCCAGGCTTGATTTTCGGGGCAAGGCTTCTGCTGCTCCATTCGACTAGCACTAGAGCTGCGGAGTCTTCAGTCCGAACTGCATGGTCTTGCTACAGTCGTAGAGCACCACATCCCAAATCTTGGGGAAATTGGGACTGCCAAACCCTTTGGCCTCTGTCTCACGCTGTGACAGCTCTGACAGAGCTCGGTCGAGCTCCTGGCACCGCAAAGCGTCGGGTTCAGAAGATTTAGCAGCTGTTGGAGATGACACCTTGATCTCGAAGCAAGACCTAGACCTTTATACATTGAAGTGCACAGTTCGACGCAGCAACTGCTATTTCTGTAGAGGATGTCTCGAACACACTGCTGATCCCAAATGACCTGGTCGATCTGAAAACAAGGCGCAGTTTGTTACACTTAAGCTTAATTACGGCCCAAGCCAAGCAACACGACTGAAGGCGTCGGACATCCATCATGGACACCTTTCCCCAAAACCTAAACCCGAAACCTTCAACCCATACACCCCAAACTATAAGCACCCTTCCACTGACGTATTTTCTTCCCGTTCGCTCGAGAGCCCTGGGCTTCGGGGCATCGGGGCCATTTCAGCCACCAGCCAAGCGCACGTTAAGTAAGGAGCCAAAGCTCGAAGTGATATCCAAAAGAAGCTTCGCGCGGTTGAAGGTGCAGTTGTGTAAGGTTTCGGGTTTCGGGGTTTGCAGTGAGGATCGCACTCATTGCGCTTTACAAACAAGTCTTCTTTCGGCTCGAGCTAAATTTCCTCCGTCCCGGCTGTTTTCACGTTCGGGGCGGACACCCAAAGCCCAGCCCCAGCTACGTTCCCAAAGCACGGTCATCTCAATTATGCAGAAACGATTGTTGAGCTGACATTCAAACAAAAACCATCGTCGTCGTCTTGATCATCATGCTCATCGGCTTCACAGAAGCTTTTTCATCGTCCTGTTAAGAATAACGTCATCATCATCAGCAGCAGCAAACACTGTGGCGCCTGCAGCACTATGACCTGCGTCATCATAATCATCCATGTTTACTATCTACAACTTCCTTACCAACTTCATGACCATGAGCAGCACCCGCATCAACTGCAGCAGCACCAGCGGCAGCACGGCACAAGAACTTGCAGCAACAGCAGCCGCTGCAAACACCACCATTAATTACTTCCAGAACGTCGGGACGACAATGGCCACGCAACAACGACTACACTACTAACTACACCCACCGCAACCACGATCACAACGACACCCACAACCGTCACCGCCGCCAACCGGCGACGACGACAACCACAGCAGCAGCAGCAGCAACAACAACAACATTGTATATCCAAACATGGGTTTATGGGAGGATTCGTGACTCCGGGAATGCCAATGTCTCGACTTATCCGCAACATGAAAACCTATGTCACCAAGGCTGTGCAGTCCTGCGGCGTAAACTTAACTACAGTCTCCAAAGGGAAGATCCACAGAGAATTCTTAGGTGGGGACGTTGCTGGGTTTGTTGCGTGGAAAAGGATGCATCGGCAAGAACTTTGATGGGCTCTTTTTCTCACAGATCAGTCTAGATTCTGGATACGTCTTGAATGGCTCCAGCCAAGCTCATCCGGAAGAGGGCCCTCCGGCATGAACGACCAATCAAGCAGCTCAGCCAAGCCACCCACGAGTCGACGGGCCATCGGCGCTTCATCGCGGCGACATTGAGGTCTCCAAGCAAAAGCCCTAGCGCTCGCACATCAGTGATGATCTCCTCCACGTAGCTAGCCGCCGCCTCACCGTCCGAAGCGAAGCCATACACGCTAACGACCACAACCTTGCGGAGGCCGCTGTCAAACTGAAACTCAAATGCAACTGCACTGTACCTGGACTGGTCCCCCACATTCGGTAGTCAAATGGGAAGACCCGGCGCTCTGGCAAGAATCGCTGTGCGGTGTAATCCTTCAGAGCCAGCTCCCAAAAATGCGTGATAACCTCGGGCTCGCCAAGCGTCCGTCCAAGAAGCCACGCTCGCCGCATTGATGTCAACCTCCTGGAGGCACATAACCTGGCAAGGAAAAGCCCGCGAATGATCATGAATCGCGGCAACCTTCGTCACCGCAATCTTGCCAACGTTCATGGTGCTAAAGACAGTCATGAAGGCTGCCCCATCGCATACATCTGAAACAGCAAATCTGGTTCAAAGCCATGGCCCAACGTCTTTGCCTCCTCAAAGGATTCCCACAACCTTTTGCCGAGGCCCTGCAGCTTGGACCGATCCCAATCGCAACATTTGACGTGCGATGGGCAGCCACACGCGTGCACACCACCCCTGCGTCACAGAGAAGGACTTTTTAGATGGTGATCACAAGGGGCCACTTGAAATTGACCCACCCGGGCATGCTGGCCAAGCCATCCTGTTGGCGCTTAGCCACCCCCGCATTGAGGAGCCCGCATGACATGCACCGGCTTGCGCTTGCCTCGGGCCATGATTTTCGTGGCGTACTCCTTCCTGCTGATGCGATGCTGCTTGGTACGATGGTGCTCCTTAGCCGCGGTGTGTTTCTTTATCGCGTCGCTCACTTCCGTGAAGCGCCACCTCAGAGAGGGAGGATCCCACGTCGATCCCATGTCCACCAAGCGATCATCATCCAACATGGTCGTCTCATCCAGTAATAGCATCGTAGACTTCTCGGAGCCGACCCGCCTGCGATTGCCATCCGAAGCGCTTGAACAAGATGTTGCCCTTAGTCGTCACACCTGCGCAGGCTAAGGACTCCATGAAACTGTGATTCTCCTGTCCACATCGTCCGCAGCGTCTTGAGCCAGGAGTGTCAGCTACAGAGCGAGCTCGATGAGACATGATGCCCCCGGTGGCCACCAGGAACCCTGCGGTTCCCAGTAGTCTAGCTGCTAGCTTCCTTCCTGACCCGAGAGATCAGAGCCTTGTCGTACTTGGGGATGTCCTCCCCCCGAAGCTCATGCCGAACCCAACGGCCCGTTCCCAAGGTGCTGTAGGCTACTCTCCGCCAGCTCTCACGCAAGTCATGCTTCATCTTCTCGTTCAGAATCGATATGTCCACCGGCTGAAGCGAATCGTGGACCCAAAGAGTCCACTCCTGGTTCTGAGGCAACCACCCTAAGCTTCGTATATAGACGATGAGTCGCAAGAGCAAGTTCGAGGTCTTTGAGCACGGAGTTCCATAACATTTCGCCTCAGCCCGCACTCGTCTCCCGAGAGACAAGGTCCTCCAGATCAGAGTTGCTCCCCACAAGGCATGAGCTCCAGCGATGACGTCTCGGAGTGGCTTGACTGCGTAGCCGATCCTTGCCGCACATTTCCAAATAATATACGGTTGTCAAACCGCTTGACGCACCTATCCTCTGGAAACTTCGCTACGATGCCGTAGTTCAACTTGGAATTCGCAAAAACTTTAACATCTTGCAATCTTTCCCACATATCTCGAGGAAGGTGAGCAATGCGACCAAGGATGACAACTCGAGGTTCTTCAGAGGGCTCGCCCATGTAGACCCCAAGAACTTCCGCAGCATGCGGAAAGGACTCGTCGGTGAGGTGAGCCATTTGTCCTTTTTCGGGGTGCTCGATCAAGTGGAAACGTCGAGAGAGTGCCTCCCAGCGTTCACGAATCACAACGAGGTCTCTCGCGGAACTGGTCACAAAGGTGCGGTCGTCCATGTAGATATACTGCCGAACGGGAGCTTCCGAATCACTGTCATGGACGATTCGTGCGATTCCTCCTAACAGAAAGGCAAGCAGAAGAGGCTAGGCGGGATCGCCTTGTGGCAAACCAACAGATGTCCTGAGGGGCTTGGTCGAACACTGCCCTCGCCAAATCATCCACCTAGGACCTAGACTGAGACTGCATGTAGGCTAACAAAGCACTGAGCCATCTGGCGAGTGGCTCCGTCGCAATCTCAGGGAGCGCCAGCTGAAGAAGGCCAATGTCCACTGTGTCGAAGGCGTGTCTCAAATCAAGAGTGCCAACGTACTTGCCCTCCGTGAGCTCCTGATCGACCAAAGCGGCCATGGCATCAGCTGACACACTGCCACTCCCGCCTGCAACCCAGCGAGGGAGAAATCGGTCTCTCCATCGCTGTACTTCTAAGCTTTTGACCCAAGTTGCCGACCAGGCTCTCACCCATACCGAAGATACAGAAATGGGACGAAGGCCACTGGTTTTGATCTTGCCCTCCTGGATCTTATTGTGCTTAGTGACTCCATCCTCCCAACCTTTCATCAAGACCCAAGCCTCAGCAAGAGCATCCAACGGCAGATGGCAGAGCTCCTCCGAATGCCACGAGTCCGGGCCAGCCGCACCACGACCAACCTGGGCTTGACGTGCAAAGACCTGCAGCGTAGGCCTTCCCAGCTCACTTTCGGAATGATGTCTCTGTTTGGTCGCCTCGCGGGCCGGGGGCCTCGAGCTCTCTTCCGACTCAAACTTTTTCCAGCAAGAAACCAGCTGATCAGCAGCGCTCTTCCTGTCATCGCCTTTCCACTTCACACTGGTCCAGAGATTTTCCCAATACTCGCAGATCAGCTCGCATCCCTCTTGTAAGGAGTTGGCTTCGCGGGAAGCACTTTCATCAGTGAGGAGCGCAGGGTTGCAAAGCTTGGAGCCTCGATGGAGCCACTGGCTCCGCTTGCGGGGAATGCTTCTCATGTCATCCCTCCATTTGGCAACGGAGGATTTCGCGATGTCCTTCTCTTTTTCATCAATGCACTTCGAGGTATTCTCTCGCAGATTCTTGACAGTCTTCAGAGCGCCAGGTGAACATCCCGGAAAGGCCAAAGATGGCCACAGCTTCTTCCACAAAGACGAGGCCTGGGGCGCTTGCTTTTTGCGGATCTTCCACTCCAACTCAATGCATCTGCCAAGTTTTTTCCGAAGCTTCGCAATCTCCAAGCGACAAGCCTCTCGTGCTTTAGGCCAACTGAAGCTGCGAAGAGAGGGTGCTCCAATGCGGTACGTGTTGACCGAGAGGAGCTTCACGAACTGTTTGATTTCCGCATTCTTGGGCTCGGTTGTAGGAGGGATGTTTTGGATGGCTACCAGGTAAGCCTGGCCGAAAATCCAGGACAGCTTCGCTTGGAAGAGTGCCCAGTGATAGTCCACGAGGCCTTGATCATCCTCTTGAGCCAGCTTCCAATCTAAGGACTCTACATGCGTCTGGGCTTCAGTCCATCCGGTGGACTCTCCGACTTTCCAAAGATCGCAAAGAAGACCCTTCCAAAGCTTAACTTCCATCCATCCAAGAAGGCTTTTTCCAAGCCTTGCATGCAGCTAGCAAAGGAATGGCCTGGGCAAAGGGACGAACCAATGACGAACGAGGCCTCGAGGATTTTGTGATCCGAGATTTTGTAGTCCAGCGCCATAACCGAGCCTTGGTCGCACCCAGCCGAGCAGATATAGTAGTCAATAATCTTCTTTCCCTCCCACCGGGTTGACTCGAGACCAATCTCACTGGGCACGAGATGCCCCCCGAGTCCCGAAGCGATGTGCTCGATGTTCGTGTCCTCGTACTCGTCGTTGAAATCCCCACCGACGATCCATGTTCCCCTCCACGAGGTTCGGAGAAGGATGTCAAGATCCGTCCACAAACCTTCGAGGTCCCCGCGAGGGTGTCTGTAGGCAGAGATGACAAGTGCATGGCCTACTCGGACAGCCAACCACTGATACCCACCTTCAATGTTCCCTCCCACGTGTCTGGAATTCCAACGACCGTGAACAAAAGTGCAAACACCGCCTCTGTCCGCAACCACTTGTCCAAACTTATTCTTACTCCTGCCGCCTTCCTGAAGGTGAGCGCAGTAACCTCTGGCTTGCATAGCATTGGCGAAGCTTTCCCAGTGGGCGTCGTTGGCCGTGGAAATGCCCTGAGCCAGGATAACGTCCGGAGCAATAGACCCCCTTGCTAACTGATTGTCCTCACCCGTCACGAGAGAGACGAGCCTCCAAAGACCTTCCCTCGTGCCAACATTCACCGTCAGAATAGTGCAAGCGCTGCTCCATTTGGGCTTCAGGGATGTCGAAGGGCCTTGGAGCCAAGACTCACCATCGGATGCATCCTCTGAGGTCTTGCCACCGCGAAGCGGGCACCACAACGGAACTTCCGATCCTAGTCACTGCTGCGCTTTGGCCTTTGCCTTGCGGATCTTCGCCACCTTCTTTTCGATCAGGCGGAGCTGCGCGTCATCGAAGCCCAGCTTGGTGAAGAACATCGTCCTTCTTTGCTTCGTCTGCCTGGACCACAGACGAATCGTCTGATAACGCACATTCTTGCACTGCTTCTCAACCGGCTTGCACTCTTTCACCCATTTCATGCTTTCAGACTTCTTCGCATTGACACCGGCGCAGGATCCCATACACTTCAAACAGGTACGATAGAAACCCGAGCGCTTGACGTTGGCCAGCATGTAGATCTCGTGCCCCCGCTCCTCGAGGACCTTGTTATCCTTGATCGCGTTGCTCCAAGCCGTGTTGAAAGCCTTGGGTTTTGCAATCTTTCTGGCCTCGGAATTGTCCTTCCAGTAAGCTTCCTGTAGGGTCTTGCCATGCACCTTGAGGTGCACTTTCTTGGCTCTCCTAAAGGCAGCGTGTGCATCCCGGTTGATCAAGGCTTTATTGCAAAAAGGGCACTTCCAGGCATACTTGACGCCGCGCTTCCTCGTGACAACCTGCTGGATCTCAGGAAACGTGCGAATCCCGATGCCGTGAGCGACTCCGCTGTATCCCACGCTAATCCACTTCTGCTTGAGCTGCTCAACTTTCCACGGGTGACGCCTGGAAAGGTGCGTAAAGATCCGGCCCGTGAGTTTGTCCCTGGTGTCACTCTTGATGACGAGCGTGCAGAACTTACAATCCCATGACCAAACTGTGGGCTTGGCCTCATCGGCTTGCAACTGGGTCCTCTTGTCCGTAGATGTTCGAGAAGAGGAGCTGCCGGGGGTCCCGATCGCCGAATCGAAAACCGAAACAGGCGTCCCGATAGCCAAGTCAACCCACCTTTTTGCCGAAGAGCAAGGGGTCTTCAGGGCATCCTCAATCCAAGTGGCATCTCTGTTTGGTGTTTTTCCAGGAGTGGCGCAAGCACCATCAGAGCCTCCAGCACGCATGGACTGCCACTCACTTTGTGTCCACTGGATCTCGTCAACATCCTCGACCTCTTTTGTCCAAGCCTTAGGAAACCCCCGAGGAGGCATCGTCAGCCCGAAGTAGTGAGATCCTTGCCTGACCACTCCAATGGCTGGAGCGTTCTTGCCGTAGTTCATCACAGCCTGCTTTTTCCAAACTTCAGCTCCAGTCTCATCGAAGACCCGTTGCCATACGACCAAGTTCACGTGCTTGCTTCTGACGAATGCCGCCAACATCAATCCGCAAACCCATCGCTTTGGCCTCAAGATCACCTCCAGGAATTCAGGCAATGTCCTCGCTGGCTTGCCCGCTTCCGTGATCTCGTTGATAGTCTTGCTGTACTAAGTCACATCGCCCGGGCTCCAGATCTGCTGCCATTCGGTCCAATTGTCTCGCAGAAAGTTGACGACCCGCCAATCTCTTGCCGCCGTCTTCCATGATCTCGTTGGGAGTTTTTCCATTGGCCTGCACGAGGGCAAAAGCTAAAGCCAACCAACCGCACTCCCCAGTCCCGCCGAGGTCCCTGACGGATGTCTTGAAGGATCCAGTCCCCGGTCCAGCTTGGCCTCCCGTTATTGTTGGTTTGCTCAGCTTGCTCTGTTGGGACTTGTCCATGTTGAAGACTTTCCGAACCTTGTTTTTCGACATCGGTTTTGAGCTCTCGGTTCTCTTGAAAGGTGATGCAGTCACGTTCTACATGAAGGTGAAGTCGAACTCGATTGCCAAGTACCTGAAAAGAAGCGGGATCAAGAGGCCTGCATTTGTTTCGCAGCTTGCGAAGGACATCGTTAGGCCTCCTCCTGTCAAGTGGGTTCCCCAGGAAGCCGATGAGGAAGGGCAAACTTAGTTTGCGAGGGTGCAACAATTGGCTTCGGCGCCTCTAGTTTACAGACGTGGCGGTGGAAGCTTCTTGGGTTTCCAGTTGGACAAGGAGGACCCGAACACTACGCACTCCTGGATTCTTCGGGGAGTGCCTCCGGAGTGGGGGCCATCAAAGGTCAGGCAGCTCATTGAGGACCGCGGCTGGAAGCCACTGCACGATCCCCAATGGTCGCGAGGGCAATGGTTGGCTACAGCGACTGCACCTTCGGATCAGGAATGCTTCTACTATCAGCTTGAGGACCAAGCTTCATTGTCGTTCAGAGATTTCGGCGGCAGCGAAAGATCGAGGAAGAGAGAAGGTGTGGATCACTGGGCCTCGATGGTGGAAACCGGAGACCGTCGACATGGATGACGATGGAATCCAAGCTACGGCCATTGACGAGGACATCAAGGAAGGGGAGGAAGTTAAGCAGACTTTCGATGCCAACGGTGGCCACTTTTCTCCAAGATGGAGGCCGCATCCATTCGAATGTCCTCCTGGTCTTCGACTGGCCACAAGGTGAAAGGCGAAGTGACCCGCAGCGAGACCATGTCCTGGCTCCTCATGTCTCCTTGCGTGATCTTGACCGGCTTCTCCTCCACCTTAACCCACGGATCTAACTTCTTCTTCGCGTTCAAGGAAACGACCCACGCCGAAATCACCGTGATATTGCCAATGGTTGGAATCCACATAGATTGGGCATGCTCAGCTGGAGGAGTTTGCGAGGTTTTCTTGGCTACCAGCATCAGGTCAACATCCTGTATGTTGTGTAGCTTTGCAAGCTGAATCATTTCTGAAAGCGTCTCTTGCTTACAGACCGAAACTCCACAAGGTGGTTTAGAGCCTGCCTCCAAAAACTCCATGACCGTAGGCCACGGAATGATGCTCCTAGCGGCAAACTTGCTCTTGAGGTCAAAGCGCACCAAGTTCTCCTCCTTCTTCGCCTTGCTTTTTCCTTTGCCCTTGCCTTTAGGCTGCTGCAAATTATCCACGTTCATCGTCTCACTAGGTTGCTCTTGAAGAGGGAGTAGAAGGAGGGAGCGACGTTGGAAGTACAAGACGACACAGTTGATCTACCCGTCACAGGTTCCGGAGCTCGGGATCTCCCTTTCATGATCCTATCGCAACTGCTTGCCAGGTTATGAGCATGCTTTCGAAATTCCTCAAATCCGCCGTCAGCGACCCCATCCAAGGCAGCAAGCATGGCCTGCATGTAGTTGCGCAGGAGATCAACAACCGAAGCCTCGAATTTTCGCCTTTGTTGTGCAGCCTGGCCGCCTCCCACTCCTGCTCGAAGATCGTCTTGACCCCAATCCAAGTCCAGAGGGGCATCCAAGCTTTTTGCCTCGAAGCTGCGAAGATCCGAAGAAAAACTGTTATCAACTCTCTTATGCAAAACGTTGACCCCGAGATCGTTGAGGTCATCTGCATCCTCCGCGAGTTCATCTTCCTCAGAGGTCAAGTCCGAAAGAGTCTCTACCTCCGACAAGCCTGACAAGCCAGCGAATTCACTGCAGAGCCGCAGTGAATCATCGTCGCCCACGTAGGGCGTGAATGAACCCTCAAGGCTAGCGGCGTCCTCTTTAGCAGCTCCCAATGCAAGTTCGTCTGAACCGTCCGGGCCGCAAGTTGTTTCTTCCATAGTGCCCACTGTCTCCTCGTCTTTGTTAGCATCCCAGACAGGTCCCTGGGTAACTTCCCAGATGTTTCGGAGCGGCTGGTAGAAGCTTTGAACCGCCATGTCATCGTTTGAGTTGTGCTCGTCACATGACGCCATATCACTGCGCAGAGCAAAAGGCCCATCCAAGCTGCCCATGTCGTCTATCACGGGGCTCACATCCTCCGAGACGCGGCCAACTGTACATTCATCATTAACTAACAGACCACGCGCCAAAGCTTGAACAGGAGGCGAGTGTCCTTCATCAGCCTGAGCGACGACCCCCAGAAAGGAACCGAGGGAGCCGTCTAGGCTGCCCATGCCATCTCCTGACAACTCCTTGGTATACTCCAAAGAGCAATCCAGACTTCCCCATCGAAGAGATGGCCAAACCCCATAAATAGAGAGATCAGCTTCGTGATCACTCAAAACAATGTCCCCAAAATCTTCTGGCTGAAACTTGAGCTCTCTTTACCACAAGGCACATTCTCGTTCTAACACTGAGTCATCGACTTCACCATCAAGAAGACTCCACAAAGGCCTATCATCCGCACTAGTTGTCTCGTCCTGTGGGTTTTCGCTTCCCCGCAGCCACCGCTTGGAGCCATCCCACTGGCTGCGCTCCTTAGCCGCGGCGAAGGTCTCGCCAGAGATGCGCCCACTGGGTTCTAACTTTGCTGCTTTTCTCCTATGAGAACTTTATGGTGACTGTCTGCACGCATTGCTCAACTTCGTTCAGCTCTAGCTCTGACGTTCGCGAAGCGGAAAAATGACTTCCGGCCAGTGCTGCCCTGCAGGAAGGAGCAAGGTCACTATGGGATTCCTATCCCCATCAGGCAGCGCCTCGCAAGCCTCAAAATCGTCAAAATCACCACAAACGCCTCGCCCTTGTGGTCGTCGAGGGCTGCAGCAAAATCCGCCTGCCCACTGATGATGTGCACTTCCTGTGTCTGCATGCTCTCCCAGTCAGCCCGTCGTGGTCTCCAATGCACATGATGTCAATCGCCTTTCTCGTCATTCTCCTGGCGTGGCTTGGCCCTGCGCTTGCTCCACCTAGGACCTAGGAGCCTCCTGACGATCACTACCAAGTCCACTCCCGAACGTTTTGCCCAGATCCTTCCAGTCATGCCATCGAGAAGCACGGCCTCCTGCATAATCGCCATCGTGCTGTGAGTCCCACTGTGGGGGATGTACGTTCCTCTGCTGTGATGCTCGCTCCTTGTCAATGAAGCCCTGGAGGCCCGAAAAATCACCGCCGCCAACCGCCGACGACGACGACAATCGCAGCAGCGGCAGCAACAACAACAACAACACCAGCAGCAGCAGCAGCAAGACCAACAACGACAATGATGCGACTTTCGGCTTGTTTCCACATCCAGATTTGGGCAGGTGTGGACAACTTGCCGCCAGTGCAACAGGCAAACTGCGGAGTTCACAAGCACATTCTCAGTGCCAGCAGTTTCGGGAAATCGGCAGCTTTTCAGCACTGCTGCCAAGTCTGAATTCTGCGCAATAATTCTCGGATAGCCCGCCCCCACGCCGGGTGCAGGCTTTCCTTTTGGTCAAAAGTTAGCCGGTACGCCGTGAACTGGTCAAGCAGCAACAACTCCCGTAACTCCCCACAACCAGAACAACAGCCACCACCATCACAACAACAACAAGGAAGGCAGTGCGTCTGCCGCCGCGCGGGGTGTGTCGTGTATTTTTGGGAGGTTTTTGGTGAAAAGAAAGAAAAGCCCGAGTTTTGCGTGGCTTTCTTCAAGTAGACGATTCATCGGACTTCAAATTTTCTATAGTTATTTGTCTTGTGTTTTTGTGAAGATTTTGCGGAAGTCTCGCAAATACCATGCTTTTTGTCGTTGATTTATGTTGTTTTTTGGGCTCATTTGGGAAGTTTTTGTCTGGTGAGCTTAAAAAAACTCGAGGTGTTTGCATGGTGGACGTTTCCAAAGTGAAGCAAGAAGAAACGGCAAGCACGAGTTGACAGAGCAAACAACTGGTAGCGTTTGAGAAATAACGCAACCAAAGAAACAGAAGACACAAGCCGCATTCGCATGGACGTCATCACCCTCCCCCCCTATCCCCCTATCCCCCCCGCGCAGAGCTGAAAGACAAATTGCACGTTTAAGCTGGCATGTACACAAAGTTGAGAATCTGTAAAAAACCGTAAAAACCAATGCGAACTGCGACACATAGGAAACAACAAGAGAGAAACAGAAGACACAAGCCGCGTTCGCATGGACGTCATCACCCCCCCCGTGCCCCCCCAAGCCCCGCACAGAGCTGAAAGACAAATGCAAGTCGAAGCCGGCATGTGCAGAAAGTCGAAATTCGGCAAAAACACTGCAAAAACCGATGCGAAATGCGACACACACAGGAAAACACTGAAAAATGCGAGACGAAATGCAGAGCCGAACATGTGTTTGCACACTGCAGCCCGCCGGCGGGGTCACTTTTTTGCTAGAAGAAACCGCAAAAACCGATGCCGAAGCAAAAGCAGAGTTCAACGTCCGGTGACGACAGTGCCTCGATGCCAGCAGAGGAATTGCACCACCCCGCGCCGCGGCAGATGCACCGTCCACCAACAACAACAACCACCATCACCACCGGCGCCGCCGCAACCGCAACCGCAAACACAACCACAACCAACCACAACAGAAACAACAACCACAACCGCAACCACAACCGCAACCATCCGCAACCACAAACACAAACCATCACCACCACCACCACCACAACCACCACCACACCCGCCCACAACCACCACAGCAACAACGCAACAATGATCGCAGCAGTGTTTACAGCACCAGCATCAGCCCTCACCACCGCCGCCAGCGCCGGTGCCGCCACCAGCCCCACCGTCGCCACCACAGTCGCAACAACCATCAAGCTGTGATCGTGTTCTTGATCTTGTGGTGCTTGCTGTCGTCGTTAATCACAACAGTTGGTTCAAGCCTCAGGCAATAGGTCCCGTGACTAAATGCTCCCAAAGGCGTTGCTGTGCTTGGGATCTGCTGCATCTACGTGAAGATGCGCTGGGAACCTCGGCCAAAGACTTCAGCTGAGGGCTCTTGGGTCTGTTCTTGGAGAACTTCGGGCTTCGGGCATCGTGGATACTGTAGCATACGGTTCAGACAGAGCAGGATCCCATAAGTCGTAGCTCTGTAAACGGGTTGTGTCAAATCGATGTGATCTTTGATCTCTGGCCCACATGTTCGCAAGTTTGCAACCAACCGCGGAGTCCCGCAATGAAATCCGCAACTCCAAAGTCTCAAAGCAAGGAGCGTCGGGCAGGCTTGCGGCAGATAGGGCAGACCCGTCGAGAGCGTGCCAGGCAGCGTTTGACACACGGCTCGCAGACACAGAAGTGCCTCGGCTCCCGAGTCGGCGCAAGGAAATCACTTGAAAAGTCTTAGGCTTAGGCCTCTAGCAAGACCCAACCGCTCAGAACAAGAAAAGGCAGGACAGAGGCTTGAAGAAACCCAGGAGCCCGCAGGGTATGAAGGCGTGGGTCTTCTGTTCATCCTCGGGACTTGCTGAAAGACTGGCAGCGAAGCACGGGAGTTGCGAGTCTCTGCCTTGCCTGGCCTGGCAGATGACACAAAGCCTTCCGTCACTGTCGGTCTCAGGGCTGCCGTCGGCCTTCCGCTTGGCCTCAGAGGGCAAGGATTCGGCTTCTGGATTGCCACTTAAACTGGGCTCTTAGATCCGCTTCTTTTTGCCGACCGCCGGCCGGCTGAGAGATGGGAGGCGATGCGGGCTCCGCTGGCTCCGCTGGCTCCGGCTCCTGGCAGTTCTGGGAACCACCTCCACCCCGTGCCCCGAGTTTCCGAGTTTCGTGGCGCCTCCTCGCTGGCTGCGACGGTCGTTGGGGACGGCGCCACGGATGCATCCGACTCGACTCGTCGGATCCACCGCTCGTCCCCCGATGAGGACTCCGCCTGGCGCAGGCTCAGGGAGCTGCTGCTTTAAAACTCGAAAAAACGAAGCAAAAACGCCGATTTTTGTGGGCGCCTCCTCCGTTTCCGGGGCGGTGTCCGTTTCACTGTCCGACGCTGGACCATGCTCTTCCTCTGTAAACTGGAGAGGCTGCCTGAGTCGGATTGAGCACAAAGCCGTGAAACAAATGAAAAATACCATATACAAACCTGCTGTACTGTTTTTCATACATGTCCAGATCTATAGCAGGTAGACACGTACACAGATAGAAGGAAAGATTGAATGTAGAGCTTTCCGTGACAGCGTGTGTTGAATCTGCGAAACTTCCATCCCTTGCACTGCGTCGGATCTCGATGCTCCACAAGTGCTGGTGGGCACCTTTCGGCATGCCCTAAAGTGGGTAAATATTAGAATCGACTTCTGACCATCCGAGCCGCAGGAGGCGTAGTCGGTGGGAGAACAAGCGACCACCTTGATCTACAATCTCCGCAGTGAACCTGAGGTCACCGGTGACACAACGATGCTGCAGCTTCCTTGTGGAAATGTGAGGACAAGCGGCAAGATCCAGGCGCCAGGGCTCAGAGGGGGTCCTCCAATCAGGCAATTTGATGCTGAACAGCACTGGTCTGGTTTTGTTGCAGGGTCCTCTTGAGAGCATGCCGGGTGCTGCCATGAGAAGCAGTGGTTCACCGTAGACGTGCTCGTGCAGCTTCATGTGGACGCTCACCTGTCCCGTCTGTGCTGCGAACTATGTCGCTGCAGACATCAACCGTACACTAGCAGTAGCATACTATACTAGCCCTACGCTGGCGAAGTCCCAAACCCATGGCCGTGTCCGCTGTGACGGTTTGCTGGCTCCATCGGACTTTGCCCTTCCACTCCACCTGCAAGCACACGTGCAAGCACACGTGCATGCACACGCCTGTCAGCACGACCCCTGAGACTCCCTTTCATCTCCCTTCCATCTTCCGGCCTTCTTCCCTAAGAAGAAGGCCCGAAAGACCCCAGAGTTTCTCCAGGAGCCCCGTGCCAGCTGCTCGTGCTGTGCGTGGAGCCCGCAGCAGCGCAGGTAGAAGCTGTAGGTGAAGCTGTAGTCCGAGGGCGTACCCATGGCACCTCGTCCGCCAGCTGCAGATGGCCTATTGAATGCTGTCGACTCAGTGACCCAGATCCAACCCTCCAAGTGCTCGCAGAGCAACGGAAAGCCCGGCTCACAAGCCCCATCCGCAGGCCCACGAGCTGTGCCATCACCATGCGGCCTTGCTGGGCTCAGGCAAAAGCTTTGCTTTTGAGGAGCGGAAGCCTGCATCGTCCACCTAAACACTGTAGAATTCCATGCCTAGCCTTGGCACCTGGTCAGCTCGGCATTGAGTTCTAAATTTTTTGGGCTGGTGAGCAGGATCTTTGGCACTCGCATGCCTCGCAGTCGGACAGCGAGAAAGCCAACCCAGTCTCCAGGCAGGAGGAAGTTCGTCCAGACACCTGTCGTCATGTGCTCAATCTGCCCTACTTGTCGTGTGGACGTTTGAAGGCTGGGACAGCGAAGCCTTCAGGTGGCATTGCGGGAATGCTGGGAGACATCCGGCCTTCCGAGACGAATCCTTTCAAGCACCATCCCTCCTCTGGGAGGGCCACACGGCACTCACCTAGGAATCTGGCAGAAATCCCAATGCCAGTGACAACTTCAAACCAGGGGATCCAACAAGTGCTATCGGCCAGAATGCTGTTGTTGCATCTTACTCGGAAATGCTCCGATGAGCGTCAAAGAGCAAATATCTAACCCAAGCAGAACTGGAGCATCGCTCTCTGCAACATTCCCCCACGGGAACTCTTCCGCGGGCCAAGCGGCGCCCAGTCTCGGGGATGTCAAGGAGGATGCCCTCGTGCCTGCCCCCCATTTCGCCGGGTGACAGGGCAGGCAGCTTCCCAAAGAGCTCGTGCGACCAAGCTGCTTGATGGCCGCACCGTTCGGGGTCGAGCGGCCTTAAACGGACAAAGACTCAACACCCAAAGCTGAACGGGTTCATGTCTTCACGGGACTTACGCGACGACAAGGCCCGGATTTGTCATTCCATAAGCCTCTTCACAGGAGCGAGATGCTTGCACACAGGTGTAAACTCCAACGCCCTTGCCTAAACAGCCTCAATCTGTTGCAGCCCGAAACCTAGCGCTGCATCTCACCAACTTCTGTAGTATGCATGCAAGTCACGATTGAAGTCACGAACATCGTGAAAGATGCCTCGGTGGCCGACCGGGGAATCGGAAGCTGAAATCGTCAGAACTCAGAACTCCCTTTCGAACTCCGAGGCTCTTCGCGGCTCCCTGGCGCATTCCTCTATCTCTTGCAGAGATGGGGAGCTGCCCATGCTTTCGGCCCATCGCCGAAGAAACCACCAACAGCTTTCAGGGCTTTCTGTGCCGTCTTGGGCTGATATGCGAGGAGAGAAAGGGGAGGCTCGGGCTGCTCCTGCTCCACTTGTTGATGTCTTCTCCTGAGGTTTGGACTCCTTCGTTTGTCATCCAGCACTTCCGGCCGAAAGAAGCCCACGCTATGAACTTCTCACTCTGCAGGTGAACGCTGGTGCTTCATGTTGCCACAATGCTCCGATGCCTGTCCAAAGCTTATCAAAACCAGAAGAAAGCCTGAAAACTCTTCGGCTGTGCACCTCCTGCAAGGCCAGGATGCGTGCATTCTGCACGCGGATGGTGGTTTGCAAGGCCTCTTCAACCAGAAACCCATGACATGACAGCGTTTGACAGTTTGACATACATACATATGAACCTACATAGAATATACATAGTCCAAACATGTATGCATGTGCATCTGCAGTACTATGTAGAGTGTGCGGATGTATACGTGTGTGTATTTCGTATGTACATGTGTACGCATGTACATGGTGTTATGCATGTGCAGAGAAGGAGCGCGCATGAGCGAGAAGAGCTGTCTCTTGCCCCCACCTCCTCTGCAACAGCGCCGATGAAGGGCTCAGACCTCCCAGGTTTTGTGGCTTTGGGTGTACCCTTTAAGGTTCAGACCTCTGGGGCCTAGGGCCTGGGGTGCAAGGTTCAGGCGTGCGTTTCTCTTGAGACTGACATTCAACATGAAGATGCTCTCCTTTTCTTCAACCAACAAGCGCTTCTCCGAGTTCCGCACGCTGCCCCAAGGGCCGCGGCCTGGCGGCTCTACACTTGTATAGGTTCGTAGGGTTTCGGGTTCACGTTTGAGCGGTTTTTCTGCTGTCCAGAGATCGTCCAGGGCCGCGGCCTTGGGGGTTTCCCTTGGGTCTAACTTGCAGTTGTGCGCCTGAGCTCTTCAAAGTCAAAGGCGTGCTGCAACAAGACTTGCCAGTACATATGTCTCCGGCTTGAGTGGGAGCTTTGCAGATATGTGTTCGGGCCCTGCATGGGTTCGAGTCACCGGGCCAGTTCCTGAATGCTCGAGATCCAGCAGATGTTGGCAACATTGATCGTATTGTCAAGCCAACCAATATCGGTGCTTGCATCACGGCCCCGCCATCTGTTCGACTCGAAGTCCTCCCTGTGAGGATCAGCTAAATCCGAAGCCTTCAAAACTGGCGGCCCACTTCAGTGGAGGTTGATTTGAAGTCATGTGTTGTGTTTGCTAAAGTCCCACCTCATGGTTTAGTGTCGTGTTGTTTGTGGTGGAACATTGTTCCCACTACAAGTTGAAACACATTTCAGGCTTATTTGCTGCCTTAAATATGCTCCGTTATGTTGGAACCTTGCTAAACATGGAACTTCAGCAACATTTCGGGCAACAAATGAGTTGATGCCATATCGGACGGAAGTTGCAGATTGGGAATTCCTTGGAGCTTGCTGTATTTGGCGGCTTTGAGGCTTAAGGAACGTCGTTTCCGCCGGGGCTCGAATTTTAAAGCGTTTAGCAGTTGTTCTCGGGCACTATTGCTCTTAGTGTTGGGTGTCGGATATTAGTCGCGACATGCTTATGTATGACGAGCAAATTTCGGCACATCCTCAGTTCCTTCAGTCGGGTCTTCTCACACGCTGAGCTTTTTCACTGTCATTGCGGACTCTTGTCCTACTCTTGTCCTTCGGCCGCAAAGGGCCCTCGGGGAACTGAACAGTTGCAAATGGTGCTCGAGCAGCAGCTGGTTTTGCTAGTCCCAACGGCAGAAGAGCAGTAGGTCGCGGCAGCAGCACTGGCAGAGGCTAGCAGTGCTAGCCTGTAATGAGAATGATGGTAAGGATGGTGACGACTACGATGGTGCTGATTATGATGATGTTGACGGTGGCCTGATGAGAATGACGGGATGATTGGCAAAGTGGAGGCCCGAAAGCCTTGATAAGACGGAGAACGCGCGACAGAAAACCATTCGCTTGCAAAATAGTCTCTCTGCACATGCATAGAGTTGAATACGGAACATTTGCATATGTATATAAACACGAATTATCTTCACAGGTTGCCAAAACATGAACCTGCACATTAATGAAGATTTATGATTTATGTGTGTATGTGTATATGTACATATATATATATATATATATATATATGAACTGTGCACATGAACCATATGTATATATATATATATATACATACATATTCACTGTGACGTATACGTGCGTAAGTAAATGTTGTTGCGCATTCTTCATTTCGTCATTCATCTGTTTGTGAATTTAGCTTTTTAGTTGGTCCACGTCGTCATTTGCTTTTTATGTATCTATTTACTTGTTCATTTGTTTGCTGATTGATGCAGGCACTTACTTACTCGTTGAATAGCTTGTCTAGCTTGTCCTTGTATTTACCTGTCGGCTTGATACGCTTCTGTACCCATATTTCGGGTTACGTATATATGCGTGTAAACATATACATATAAAAAACTTACATGTGTGTATATATATGTATATGTATATACTTCTCTGAATCTAGCTACTTGTGGAAATATGTGTAAATATATGTATATATGAAAGTATATACATATATGTATAGATGTATGTGTTTACACGTGTATCTATTTATATATATATATATATATATATATATATATTAATATATATATATATATATACATACATACCTACATACATACATACATACATGTAATTCTATATACTTATATGTCTATACATATATGTATATACACATTAGGGACCCCAAAAAGGGATCATAATTTTGACAACCACCCGACGTGTACAAGCCCTCCGCGTCTCTCTTCGCCCGACGGAAAGCGAGCAGCGGCCGGCTAGGATCGGCGCAGCTTCGGGATCTCCACAGACGCGTCCGGTCCTGAAGGACAGGAGTTCTCAGAATAAGTGCACAATACGCGGGTTTCAGGGTTTGGGGTTTAGGGTTTAAGGGCATTTAATTCAGTGGTCTTTGCAGCAAAGACTCAAGATGCTAATTAGGGTCTGTGCTGGGGGGTCTCTTGCTTTGGGTGCTTCAGAGAAGGGCTGTTTCCGGTGCAAAATACCGGAAACCCTTTCATCCCAAAAAGTTTAACCAAAGGCTGTAGCTTGAACCTGCGCGGGATTCGTCTCGTACCCACCCGAAGTCTTCATTTGCGAGGGCCGAGGGCACGGCAGCTCAACAGTGGCAGCTTCGGCCGTTGCTGCCGACGACACCTAACGTAGCGCAGAGGTTCTGCAGGCTTACTGTAATCAAAATCCGAAGTCTGCTGATGCAAGGCCCGGTGGAAACGCAACAGCAGCCATATCTCTGTAAGCTACAGGAGTTGCATTCATGGCCATGGGGAGTGTCAACCACTTCTCGCCTCTGCACGGGTAGGCCGAAGAGTGCAGGACCTGGGTCACTGCCGAGGCACATCATGCCCTGTCGCCTCGAGAAGCCCTGAAAACCCAAGACCAAGAAGTCCTTTGAGGATAACCTTGTGCAGCGAACATGCCCTCAAACCCTAAACTTCCAATCCCACACACGGAAACTCGACACTATTCGGGAAGCCCTGCCCTACATAACTGAGGTCGCAAGCTCCGCTTCCCTGATCGCGTTGCAGGCCTCTGTGGGCTGCGACCGCAACGGGTGCAAAGGCTTATTCTTGAGTTCATTCAGGAATGATTGATGCTCTTGCTATTCTTGATGTCACAGCTGTTGCCAGCTGCCCGTACTACTATGAGAGCTACTTTTTGTGTCGATGTTTCCTCTATCCAGACTTCGAGGGCTTCTCGGCACACGGTGAAGGATGTCAAGTCAGACGAAGTGTTGACTACGACAACGCGAAAGCACTTGCAGCAGGCTGAACTCCTTCTCGCACTCTCCGCTCCCCCTCTCGCTTATAGCGGTGCTTTTGAGGCCAAGTTCCAGGCCAAGGCCTCAAGGCTCATGCTTTGTAAAGTGCTAATTCTGCTTCCTTCTACAGGAAGGGGCCAGTACGTGGGCTGCTGGCCTGGCATGGCTTGATGGAGGTTTACTTTGGCTTCGAAGAGTCGCGGTAAGCGAGAGACAGAGGGAAAGCACTCATGCGATTCTACTTACCCGAGCAAGTGCAATCGCACGCTGCTGTCGAGGGGCATTGAGTCAAGAAGAGACGCTGTAGGCACGAGCGACTCCGTTACAAATCCCCAGTAGGTGGCTTCAGAGTCGTTCGACTCATTCCGCCCTCACTCCGCCCATCCTTGCCGACTTGAGCCTTTCATCCCTGACACCCTCGGTCGGAATTAAAACAACCTAATCCAAATGCCGGCCCCAGGTGGCCGCCTGGTCCAACGCCTGGACCCTCCTCAGATCGCTCGGCACGGCTGCAAGTCAACTGGCAGTCTCTCGTGCTGAAAGTCGGTTCCTGCGGAAAAAGACTTTTCATCTTCACAAGCGCGGGACGCTTGTCCTCTAAAAAACGAAAGCATCACCTGGAGTGCTGCCCAGCATCTTCCGCTCGATTTCATCGTTGCGTGCCAGAATCTCCTCGCACACAAGCATGCGGAGGAGGGTGCAACATGCCACGCAGGGAGAGGAATTCCTGGAAGCCTGTTGATTATTGCTACTCAGCAAGGCAACCATCGACCTCGATCCAGGAGCAGAAGCCTCCAGTGCCCTTGAATGAATTCCATCAGACAGGGCCATGACGGTCCTGCTCTCGCTGCTCAAAATGAGACAGCGTCTCCCGCGGAAGGCAGGACATGGCTCGGTCGCTCGGCAGATCGCCTGCCTTCAATTGCTTGACGTTTAGGACCTACGACCTACGACTCTGACCAGTTTGGGAATTGAGATATTCCAGCGCTGTGCTGTGGATGCGGCCACTGAGGCTCCTGGCAGCTGCTGTATGAGCGGACCTGTGAAACCCGATCTGGAGCCCTCGCTCCGAACCTGCTCTCAACATGATGGCACTGAGCGAAGATGGAAAAAGACGAAAGGCGCTGTTCTACTGTTTTCTCGCGGTGCTCCACAAGGGCTTCAACAATTGGTTCAACACCAAACAAGATGAGTTGGTCCGGAGCTCGGCTGCGGAATCGGAAGGAGTAAAATCAAGAGTGATCGGAGTTTTTTTGAAGTCGTAAGGCCGATGCTAAAGCCAATACGGTTTGTGAGTCGTGACGGAATCGTTGACGCATGTTGAGGCCTTGGTGCTTCGTTTTTGAGACTTCCTTTCATTGGTAAGGCACGTCTGACCAAGGTTCTTGTGAACTTTGAGCCTTTGACACTGGAACTCATGCTCATTAGGACCGTCGCCCAATCCAAAGCGACCACATACTGCGGCTGCCTTGCACGCGAAAGTCCAAAGGCAAGCACGCTCCAAAAGCTGCCCATCAAACCAGTCAGGCCTGGCAGCCATGGCTGATTGGCGAAACAGGTCCTGTCCTGCTTGGTGCACCTGGAAGGTATCATCCTTGGTGTCGCGGACCGCCATCAACATACATCATGTCATCGCCTCGGAATCCTCAATGCCCAGCAGCAAGTCAATGGCTCCAGAAACGAATCTTCCCAAAAACTCTTAATGGCTCCCGTGAGCTTCTCAAGCGCTCCTGCCACGCTCTTCCTGAATACTTCTAAGCGTCTGCGTAACTCGCCCCTACCCTACCACCCTGATGTGGATTTGGTCAAAGTGTTGCTGAAGCGAATGGCTGAGCTTGATGCGTTGCGTTGCGAGCAATCGTCGCTCTTTACCCCGAAGCCCTGCAGGAAGCCCGCTGCCGTGGCAGGTGCAACATCCGAAGCGTCAAACGTCAGCGATGGGCTCACATGGCCAACATCATATGCATCGGAAATCTGCAGACCTTGGAGGAGCCCTGCGCAGGTGGCTCGAGGTAGGTGGCAATCACCCGGCACTTCCCTGGCATTGAGCCAGCCAGCAGCATCGCCCCTGCCGGAAGTCTGGTGAGTCAAAGAGCACGCCCGTCAATGTGGACGAGGAGGCGGTTGCTCTCTTTGCTCTGTAGGAACTTCTTCACCTCCTCTTTGATTTTTAATTTTGCCAATGGACTCGGAAGTTGTTCCCGCTCAATTTTCTGATATGCTCCTTCATCTGCCTGCTGAAGCCGTGAAGCATGAAGTCGATGCGCACATGTAAACATTGCTATGGGTGAAACTGGTCTGGCTGCTCCGGCTGCCCAGCACTTCGGCAGAACGCTGGCATGATGGTGGTGGATATGCCCCGCATGGTTGGAGGTGAGAAATGTGCAACTCGGTCTCTGCTAAATACAGCTTGCTCCCTCCAGCGTCATCTTCTCTTATCGGCCGCGATGCCTCGTAAGCATCCCATGACTGCAGCACCGGGGCGTCTTCGGTTGCCACCTTGACGCGCCACATGCAATTCCAGTGCACTCGCAAGAATTGCGCTTCCACGAAGGCATTGCAGCAAAGCCTTTGGATGACGAGCCACTGTTGATGCACACGATCAACAAGAAACAGGCAATCTTGAGAAGGCGCGGTGAAGCCCCAGGCAAAGCCCCATGGCGTACTCACCAGCCTGCGTTTGTTCTGTTTCTGCTTGACTCTGTCTCGCAGTCTGATTGCGAGGGCAACTCGGCTTGTCCTTCGTGTTCTAGGCTGCCCGGCGATCGAAGCAAAAGGCCATCTAGAGCTTTGTGCCTTGCACTTCGCTGCCCTTGAGTTTCTGCACGGCCATGCCATATTAGGCACACCGCACGTCGCCAGGCGCGGCAGCACAGCACCAAACAGCCAACACCAAGTGCGTCTCCACTCGCAGCACCCAGAAAGTAAATCGCACTATGATGCTACGAGAGATTGGTTGTAGTTTGAAGGGTATACGGTATACAGTTGCGATGCTGCACTCGATCGGGTTTAATCTTGCGACTCTCTGGGAAATAGACACACTTCCAATCTGTCAGGCCATCAAACTCACGATTCTCAAGACTCCACACCCCACGCTCGCAAAGTCAGCAGTCTTCCGCTCGAAGACCCCTACAACAATAAGTCAAAGTCAAACTGTCAGACTCTTGACCTCGCCAACATGACGAAAAATGCCCATGCTTCCAATATCTTCCAAGTTTCCTGCTCAAACTGCATCCGGCCAGCTCTCAAACTCCCGCACTCTCAACTTCCGAAAACGTGGCCAACATTTTGAGCTTGAGTTTGAAGCAGACTTGCATCAAACGTAGGAGAGGTGGTCAGGGACTCATCGCCTCAAACTCTCTAGCATAAGTTTGGAAACGGATTGTCCTCGGGAGTGTTGGGTTGAGGATCGCTTGTGGGTCTTTGGGGTGGGACCCAACTTTTCAAGGTTCACCGTCTCAGATGTGAGAATCGTTCGTTCAAGTCACGGAGTTTCTCACTTCGTGGTTTTAGGTTTATGGAATCACACATCATAAGAAGAGGCACCTTTGCAGGGATGGCTACACTGGCACACACTACTCTCGAAGCAAAGCGTTTGCTGGGATTGTGTTGAAACACTTCGCAACTTACCTGCTGTGGTTGCTGCCAGTGGGTGGAGTTGACGATTAAGTGGAGGTTGCCTTGTGCTACCTGCTATGTCGGCTTAGCCAGCATTCAAGCCCATTTGAGCACAGAACAGATGCGGAGTAGCAGACTCGGAAGCCAATCTCTCGAGGCTCAACGTTATGGTGAACATCTCTGACTTATTTGCTGTTCTGGCCTTCCGAATGAGAAAAAATAGCAGGGACCCTGCCCCACGAGCAGGTCGCAAGTGCCTGCCTCAGTATATGTACTAGTATGAGTTACAGTTACGATTACATCCAGCACCGTTAGGGAATGCAGGCTTCACGACAATGTCTCTTCACCGGAGCACATCCATCTTGAGCGTCCGCCGAGTAATTTTGGCGCGGGCTCGACTCCAGCTTCAGTCTCTGTGCGTCTACGATCCTTGCAGGCTGGAGGCAACGGACAGGAAAACAGCCAAACAATCGAAGGCGGTGTCAGACGCTGCACATCTTGCGACTTCAATTCGGCAAGCGCAGACTTAGGAAGACTGTTGCAATCTTCTCTTGCGGTGCATCTTGCCACAAACCGCTCGGCTACTCACCGAACCAGGATGCGTATTGGACCTCCGAGTCATCTCATGGGTCAGCACACAGCATACACGTGATCAGCAAGACAGGAGTGTCAGCGGGACCAGCAGCGGCGGTAGAAATAGTGCTCGAAGTACAAAGAACAGTAGAGGTTATAGTCGAAGTAAAGCAAGGGGCAATGGGTAAGTAGAAGCAGTAGCAGAAGAAAAGGCAAACTAGCTGCGGCATCAGTAGTACTAGTACTAGTACTAGTACCAGGAGCAGTAGCAGTAGCAGTAGCTGCTTCCTGCAACAGCGACGATGCCAATGAACGACGAAGACAACGCAGTGGAGTCAGAACTTCCTGCGGAAGGCTTCTCAGCCTCAGTAGCCCAAGCCGACCATGTACTCCGCAAAGGCGACAACGGCCTCAGGCAGAGCTTGAAGTCTCTCCGGCTTGGCTGCGTCGCGAGCCGAGCCTTCGTGCAGTTGCCACCCACTTGGCCCTTTTCTTCCTCAGCTTCCCAGGGCGGCAGCTGCCTAGCTTCGACGTGGACCCAGACGGTGTCTCTTCCTCTGCTGTTGGGCCGAGGCACATCGTAGAATCCGCAGATCACCTGACTCTTCGTGATGGCGACGGAGACGCCCTGAGCACAGAATTCCCGGGCAGAACTTGAGATTCGCGCGTCCGTCAGTGAATGCCACCCTGGCAGTCCTTCTTCGGCTTGGCGGCGAAAATAAAGACAAACCTTGGCGCGACTGGTCAGTGTCAGAACACACTTCATCGGATCAACTCACACTCTGAATCACCAATTTCCCAACACTGACAGACCCTGAAACAATCCAGACGAACAAGACCACGCGACGAGGCATCTCCTGACTCGAAATTCTTGTCCACGCGGGTGACTGCGTACTTCCTCGGCGCGTCAGGTTTGGGGAAGCGGGGCTTTCGGATCTTTGAAGAGTCGGGCCCCTGAAATTGGAACCCGCTTTTGGCCGGGCGTCTCTCCGCCGAACCAGAGGCCGGTCGGGGGGGCCTTGTGGTTGTCGGCCAGGAACTTCAAGGCGGTTCCCTCTGCAAAGGCTTCTGCTTCATGCTGTGCGTCAGGCGAGGCTCTAGAACTCTAGTGCGAAGCAACAAAATCACAAAATGACAACTTTCTTTTCCTCCAACCTAACGGACCCCAGTTGCTCTTGTGAGGAACCTGGATGCCCGTGTTGCACGAGTTTCACAGTTTGCAGCCCTCCGGGCCCCCTCAAAGGAATCAACCCGGGCCTCGTTGATGGTCATCTTCTTTTCTGTCATGTCCTTAGGCTTCGTGCGATGCTTCCACAGGGCAAAAAAGCCACTGCCCAGCTGGAGCCAAGCAGCATCCTGCATGATCATTTCCTCGTGATCGTCCTTGTAGATGAATCCCCACCCGGCCTAAGGTGGATAGTTGCGACAAGCAGCACAATCCGCCTCGTCTGGCAGTGGCTCCCATGTTGCTATGATTGCACTCTCACCGCGGGTTCTTTCAACACGTCTCGCTGGGGTTGTCCGCCTGCACACACACTGACGTCGCTGGCCTCCTCTGCCACGGGTGCTGCGGCATAGAAGTTGCCATCCTCCAGCTGGGCCATGCCCGCGGCATAGCAGTAGCCCTGCAGGGGCTCAGAATGCCAAGAATGCTTGCCTTAAACGGAAAACGTACGTTCGGAAGGTGGAAGTTGCTCGGGCGAATCTGCAGTCGCAGGAGGATCTCAAACAATGTCGAAACACTCGCTGCGCCTACAGCATGATCAGAAAAGACGCAAGAGCTTCCGGCATGTCAACGGTTACGTTTACTACCCAGGATGGAAATTGGATGCAGATTTTGCATGCCCCATGTGGCGAGTGGCCGCCTCACTGATGAGCCACTCATCCAGGGTCTGATCCCAGCTCGCTTCCTCCTCTTCCGCCATGACCTCAGGTGCTGGGAGACGACATGAAACGACAGGACATCTTGCCGCGCAGATTCCGCCGCACCCTTGGAAGGGCTGCCGGGCCCCAGGCACGTGTTCAAGTGGTGCCGCAGGCACCGTGTGAAGGCAAATGGCGACGCTTGCTGGAAGCCGAAGCGAAATTGTTAGGACCAAAGCATGACACGGTCTGCGACACCTCCGACACGACATGACACGCAACGACACGGCCTGTGACACTGCGGCTTAGTTGCCTCCATGAGCAGCAGCATCGCTCTAGCTCCACTATCCTTTCCAGACCGCGGGAATCGCTCTCCAGTCGCTCGGCTTCTACGATCCTTATCGAAGGCGCACAAAAAGGAAAATCAATCAGCGCGCATGTCATGGCAGCCTTCGGCAGGAGCAAACTTAGGAAAGCTGTCGTGTTCAGCTTTCGCTTGCAATGCATCCCGCGTCTCGCGGGGGCCACCCACCAACTGTGGGAGCTACCACGCGGTGTTGTGCTCAACTAGACTGCCAGAGCTTCGGCTTGCAAGTATGGCCACAAGCCTGTAAGAGTAGGTTCGAGCAATGACAGGTGGCTGGTGAATTGGACAGAGTCGTCCCAGGGACAGAATGCAAATCAGGTATGCACTGCGGAAACTGCTGAGTGTTGATGGTGCGAGATTTCTCTCTGCAGGGTCTGTTCTGGAACCTCCTCGGATCTCCGAATTGCCTCTCAGTAGCCCAAGCCGACCATGTACTCTGCGAAGGCCACAACTGCCTGGGCAGAGCGCGCCGAGGTCCCGAGGACTTGAGCCTCGCGTAAATCCGCCCCCCACCCCGCGCCGCCGCCCGCCTTTGTGCAGTTGCCGCCGACCTGGCCCTTCTCTTCCTGAGGTCTCAGGCTATTCGGCTTTGGCTTCGGAGCGCATGGGAAGCGCGGCTTCAGGCGAGGCTCGTCATAGAATGCACAGATGACCTGGGTCTTGGTGATGGCAATGGACACGCCCTGGGAGGCAGCCAGGCAGAGTTTTTGGCCCAGGCAGGCAGCTTTCGACAATGAAATGGAATAGGAACGTCCAGGTCAGTCATGTCAGTCTGCCCTCTCAACTTCGGGACCAGGATAGAATGGGACACTAGTAGGTGAGTTTCAAGTTCGGGTGTCCGTTGCGAATCACCAGCTGCCGCACGTCAGCTGGTCGAGCCTTCTTGGGCTTGGCCGCAAAGATGAACACAAACCTCGGAAGCCAACAGCCAAAGAAGTCTTAAAGGCACGCAACAAAGATAGAGTCTCTTTCTGGTCCTCCACAAGATGCTCGCAAGACGAAGGGTCGGTAAAGAGCAAATCGAAGCCAGGCGACGACGCATCTCCGGACTCAAAGTTCTTGTCCACACGAGTAACTGCATATTTCCTGAGCACCACTGGCATCCCAAAATCCGCAAGGCCTGCGATATCCTGAACACAACGGGTCCCGCTTTTGGCCGGGCGTCTCTCCGCCGAACCAGAGGCCGGTCGGGGGGGCCTTGTGGTTGTCGGCCAGGAACTTCAAGGCGGTTCCCTTCCACCGAAAACCGGTCGCATGAAACTCGGAGCACCACGCTTTATGCCTGATGACGCTGCACCTATGGCCTCGTTGATTGTCATCTTCTTTTCAGTCATGTCCTTGGCGGAGACGTCGAACGGCTTTGGACAGTTAAGCTCCGGGAGCCGTCCATTGCTGCCAGGTCACATCCTGCATGATCATCTGCTCGTGGTCCTCCTTGTAGATGAAGCCCCATCCAGCCTGCGAGTCTGCTATCGCAGGCGTCCCGGGCTATGTGCAGGCACGAGATCTTCTTCGTGGGACCTCGTCGGCCACAGGTGCGGCGGCATAGAAGTTGCCATCCTCGAGCTGGGCCATGCCGGCGGCATAGCAGTAGCCCTGAGCAAGGATAGAAAAAGAGCCCCGTGCGGAGACAGATGCCGAGGCATCTCGGAAGCCTGGCCCTGCCTCACTGATGAGCCACTCATCAAGGGTCTGGTCCCAGCTCGCTTCCTCCTCTTCCGCCATGGCCTCGTGCTGCGAGTACAAACTAAAACCATGGGATCCATGGGATAATTCGCGTGTTTCAGGGTGGCCGAGCTCCTGGCTCCTCGCAAGTGTCGAGAAGAGATCCCCCAAATAGCGCAGGCTGCTCGCGAGTGGCAAAGGGCAGATGAGTTCTCTAATCCATCCCGGAAAGCCCGGAAACTTGACGTCGAGACGCAGAGCTTGCGCTGACTCCTACTCGTTTTGAGCGTCCACGGCATGGATGCACGGCTCGAGGCTTGGCCTGGAGTGCTGCTTAAAATCCAAAGCTCTTTCAGGCTCTTTGCACCTTCCGGTTGGGAAGGCTCAAGAGAGCGATGTCCTTGCCAGTCCCTTTGCCTTTTGTCAAAAATTCGCTGTAGCTGTACATAGCCAGGGGACCATATATATCCCTTCGGGATGTGAAGCACGGCCAGGGAACCGAGGCTTTGCAGGTGAGAGCCTTTGACTGAAGGGCCTCCGCGCTGGGTCTGCGGGGTGAAAGGTCGGGGTAAAGGGGGTTGGGGCGGATTCCTTGACGGCAACGGGCACCTGCAAAGCCGCACGCCGAATTCATGCAGGCCACAGGCTCAGCGGCTCAAGTGTGGCACATCGATCTACCAGTAACTTCCTCAGTCGAGCCGAGCTCGGGATCGGATCGCTCCTGCCACGCTGGGCCTGCTGCCAAGCCTCTCTTTAACTGTTCGATTTCGTGTACAGCGGATTCCCCGTCACCGACTGGCGAACACGCCTCCCAATGGCGCTGCTCAGTCTGTGTTCGGCTCCAAGCCTTTAAACTTTACACCTGTACGCTTTCACCTGTTTCACGCATCAGCATGCTGCTTTCTTTTGGTGTATGCGCCCGAACCTGACATCCGCGCCAAAGGCATCCGAGAGGAAGATGCTCTTCTCGGCGAATTTCTCTGGCTCCTGGCCGTCTTCAGGGTCTGGTCCGGCGAGGCGGCTGCGGTCCCAAAATGACTGGGGACGCGAGCTGCGGGCGCGGGCTTACGTGGCCTACGTTTACTTTATCACGATCATGAGTCTGCTCTTTGTCGTTGTATGACATGATCCTGCTCACGCATACGAACAAATTGCTTGGAACGAGAACGAAACACCCCGGACCGACAGCCAGCAAGACTGCGCGGAGATGTCGAAAAAAACACCCACAAACTCAAGCCATGCAAACACCGGGAGAGTTGAGAGCCTGGGCCCTTTGCAATTAGTCATGGGGCTTGTCCCCAGAGACAACGCACTCATGGATTCGTCGTCTAATCAGAGCAACGACACAAGAAGGTGTTATGGACTGATGTCATGTGGAGTCAAGAACCAATTGAAGCTCTGAACCCCCAAACGGGTCCCTGTTCAGCACCGTCGTCTTGGGATTGCCAGTGGGGGAGAAGTGCCCTGTGGTCTGCTGCCTCAGCTGCGGCTCGCTATGCGGATCTTTGCGTTAGGTGGCTTTGGGGTTAGGTCCTCCAAAGTGCGACGAAATTCCTCTCACAAGATCCATCATTGCCAAGAGCGCTAAAATGCCGAGGGGCGAGATCCAGCGAGGCATCATCCAGACATCCCCCTTTGAGGAACAGCGCTTCAGATGCCTCAAAGGGACAGTGGGGAATACTGCTTTTTTGAAGTGTTAGGTGCAACCCTCCACGGGGTAGGCAGGATCCCTCTCCGCAAAACTTCACGTCGGAGCTGCTAGCTCCCAAAGTAACTGGAGGAGTCAGGTTGTAGAGCGCTCCCCCCCTTGCACCCGGCACGCCCAAAGAGCAGAAAGCAAAAAGCGCCTGCTGTTTCGGAGGTTTGCGCTGGTCGCCTCTTCTTTGAGCCTCGAAGGCGGAAGTCGTGACAAAACACAAAGCCCCAATCCCTGACGTCACACGATTCGCGACGCTTCAGGCTCTCCGGCGTCTCAATCAAACAAGCTTTGTTCATACTGGCATCAAGAGGTCCGTCATCGCGCACTCCGGCATTCCCATCGCCCCGCTTGGAGGCTGCATCGGACCATTTCCCAGCTGGGCTCCTTGCATAACTCGCATCTTCTCGGGCTTCTTTCGCTTCGGCGCAGGCCTTACAGGCTCGCAGCATCCGAATCCGCAGGGTCCAAGAGCAGTTACAGCCAAGGCCAGCGCTTGGAGGCCTCTTCTTGCCTGACAGGCGGAGGGTCGGATCGTAGTACGCATGTGTCAGAGCTGCAGGTCTTGGGTCTTGGATCCTACCAGTACTGCGCCGGGATCTCAGCAGAGTCCTCCCAGCTTAACCGGAAGGTTCTGAGTTTGGGAGTCGCTGGGAGCACATATTCTTACGGCCTGGCTTCAAGATTCAAGGATATCCTTTGGGTTCCCTCTTGCTCCAGGCCTGCGGTTTGGCTTGAAGAAGTCGGAGGAAGTCGACGACTCCATCTCCTCAGCTCTCGGCAAGATGAGGCAGGAGGCTCCCTTTGTGCTCCCATCCCGGCCCATCTGCAGCATCTGCCGCTGGGCATCAGCCTTCACAGGCAAGGAGGGATCCATCATTGAAGCGATCGACCTCGCAGCGACGGAGAACCATAGCAGCCATGGTACCCCTACTCCACCATGACTGCTCATGACGGAGTGACTTCAGGTGGGGCTGTTAACAATCATGTCACCTACAGGGCCGTTCTCCCGAAGGGATTTTCAATCATGGTTTGCACTCCGTTATGGGCCTCTCCACGTCACCAGCGGATGCTGTCGCCGCTTGGCAAGCCTGCGCAAGATAACTTGCAGCAGGCATGTGCCCAGAAGAGCCTATGCCCCACCTTCCGCATCACTTCCAACTGCTGTGGCGAAATCTTTGCTTGAAAGCGCAACTGCAGCCTGGCAAGAGCTCGCACATGGCAGTTGCTTCTCTCCTTCCTGGCGCAGCTTCTGTTGTCGTTGTTGTGGTAGTTGCACATGTTCCTCCGACTGGGGCCCTGCATGATTATGTCCCTCGCGGGCCTTTGCAACCAGGATCCTCAAGGCATGGCCGGCTTAATTATAACCAAACAAACGCGTCAGTTGTACCCGTCCCCGTCTTTGACCTGTGATGCCAAACGGGAACTGCAAGGATAACAACAACGTTAAGAACATGAACAGGAAAAGCCCCAACCCTAAGTACTAAGCCACAGCGATGTCGAAACAACGACGACATTCATATGGATAAACCTGGCTCTAACTGTACCATTAACCATTCATCTAGGTCATCATCATCGCCCCCTGAACTTCAGGCTGTACACCATCGTTGGGCCTCGCTGTACGGGGAAAAAAACTCGCATGTTTTCATGGTGAATGTTGGGGAGCCTCAGCAGAAACAAACACAAAACACACACATCAAGAACGCCTCCGGAAATCAACAGGCACCTCAATGGCGGCAGTGCTTGTGAAACACTGCTCCTTGAACCCTATGACTTCAACTCTGACCACCTCTGCCCAACAAAGCTCAACAAGGATAACGCGGATATTGACGAGCTCCGGGCCCCCCAAGAGCGCAGCGTAAGGTTGTCGTCTGTCAAGGTGGGCGCAAGCTTCTGGAGGGTTCCGATTTGTGGAACTGCGTGAATCGGGTGTGCTGCTCTGGAAGTTACGACCCGGGTCCAGGAGATCGAATCAAAGATGCACATGATGCACTCAACAGGAGCCTTTAGAATCCGGAGCGCTGTTCCCGAGGCCGCGGCTGTTCATCGGCACATTCCTCCAGAAGAAGCGCTGCCTGAAGGCGCTAAGATGGGTAGTAAAAGCCGCACAGTGCTTCGCAAGACTCGACATGTCTACATATAAAACGTCTTTAGTAGCCTTCGTAGCGTGTTCATACCTTTCTGTACTTTTGCCTGTAAACAGGTGAGAAGCCTGAGTGGACGGCTGCAAGCTGGGCGGTGGAGAACAGCAAAAGCTTTATGCCAGCAACCATCGATAGGTTCCACATAAACCCAACTGGAGCCTCCAAACCCAACCCCAGCGCACGAAACAAACATTCCCATCATGAGACTCTCGAATACTGATATTCTGAAGTTTCCCCCGTCCTTGCGATCTCCATCCCCGTCAGGTCGTGCACGATGCCCTTCAAAGACTCGGACCACGCCTTCGGGCGCTGAGGTCAGTAGAACGGACAGGGGGGGGAAGTCAATGAGAAATTAGGGTGCTGTTCTGGAATACTGTACATACTACGTTGAGTTTGCAGCTGCAAATCGGGGTTGTAGGAACGTCCTTTTGCATTCCAAATCACGGCAATTCCTGCATCACTAGTCCAGCAGCCGCATGCGCCGAGCATCTCCTGTACAGGATTGTCCTGTTCGAAGCGTCACAGACACTTCGTCGGTTAGGCCAACAAAACACGGCGGAACATCTTCGGTGCACAGGGCGAGGACGGGAATGCACCGTAAAGTCTGGCTGCAGTGGTGCACCGGCACCATGTACATGGCTGCAGCCTGAAGTTAAACAGAACTTGATCTCCCTCAAAGCATAGGGTGCCTTTTCCACCCTGTCGATTGAAACTGCAAGCAGAAGCCTTCCGAGCCTTGTCAAGGAGTGCTACGTGTACAACAAAGTTGCTTACCTTTAGAATTCAGCCTCTACTTCTAATGGGTCGAATGACAGGTTGCGAGTGCCAGTGCTACTCGTAGCTGGTTGCGCGAGGCAGAAGCCAGCGATCTCTTGAAGCGCGTCTTCTCATGATCAACGGAGGAAGCTTTCGTACATTGGCTCGCTACGTAAATTCCATGGTCCATCGGCACTGCCTGTCAGTGCAGCTCGGATGGCTTCGAAGCTCTCGAACTTGCGGTCCGGGAGCGAATTTCTGAAACTACTCCCCTCCGAGCTCCTAGAAAACGTGGAGCAATCCGTGCGAGTGCT